ACCTACTGTAGACTGCGCATGTCTCTAAACTACTTGAGTTTTTCTTAGTATATTTACGTAAGTTAATTCAGTATGTATGACAATAGTTATTATAAAAGTATCATGATGGTTTGACATTATTACAAAATCTGTTGATAAACTATTGTTTTAGCTTTATGCTCACCTTACGAGCTTACCAACACATACTTGACGGCCCACATTGTATCGTTACTCTGTAAATGTCAAGCATTAACTCGTAAGGTCACAGTAACACATGTTTTGGTAACTTGAACGATCAATCAAGTGTACTCAGAGTGGGTAGGCAGTAGGTGTTTGTGTTTACATAATACTGTATCGTTGGAGTAATTATTACTTCATTAAATGCGTATTAAAACCTACAATAAAATTAATGTTAATATGATACAGTTTTAGCTTCAAAAAATTTAATCGTTTATTTTAATAACAATATGTACAGAACTTTAGCTGTGTATTCTTTCGTAATTATTATTAATGAATTTATATTTTAGTTAATTTAATGATCGTACGCATCTTTGCTATCTGCAGCCTACCTTTGGTTTGGTCTTAGGGAATTGGCAAAGTAGATTTTTGAGTATTTCCGTTTTAAAACACACAACAACAACACGTAGTAGTCATGTAACTGGCAAAGCGTAATGTTATTCTGTTGTAAGGAAAGTAGACCTGAAGATAATCGAATGTTCTAATTGAAAGGTCAGCGCAGTAGTGTCTGGTTGATGTGACGTAAAGTTCAACTATGTACATACATAATATATAAATGTCCTTACGTAAGGAAATAAATACATAATATACGATAATTATTGCTCGTTGACTCGACTGCCTCGTTGGCCGACTGGTCGCAATTGCGACTGTCGGGCAAGGGGTCTTGGGTTAGATTCACGGGTCGGGAAATGTACTAAGAGGCTTTTTTTAAAAACAATCTTAGTAGTAGTACGGAGTCTGGAATTGTGCCCGGTATATGGCAATAAGCTCACCCCCTATTACATGGGACTCATAACATAAATAGTGAAAAGTGAGTGTTATTGTACAGTGGCATGAAGTGCCGTAATGTGCACCTCTGCCTACCCCTTCGGGGGTAAAAGACGTGATGTTATGTTACATTATATGATAATTAGGTAGATACAAAATTTTACAATACCTCTATATTAGGCTGATATAACCTGTTTAGATATTTCACATTCTATCCATAGCGTTATTCAGAGCCAACTAGAATTTCGGTTTATATAGTAAATATTTTGCTATCTCCTATATAAATATTGTCGATATCCAGATAGTTTTAGCCATATGTTAATGTCAATTTTTCTTTGAGGCCATTGAATAGAGATGGAAATTGTTTTATTTTTAATTATTTATACATTAATTTATTTATTTATTATTACAAGACATTACATTTAATTAACTTACATTTTTAGATAGATCTAAAATGAAATATTCGCAAATAGAACTAAAACGTCACTTTTCATATTTTTAAGATGCATCCAAAGAATATATAGTTCGAAAACTTGACAAAATTCACAAGTTTATTGAAGACAGTTAACCTTGTGAGGCGCTGAAGTGGTCTCCGCGACGGAGGCTTCTATTTCAGAGGGGCGGCCTTGCTCCCCTTCTGTCTAGCACTGCATATGTTCTGAATTTCAGATATTTTAGAGAATCGTAGCGCTCTGTTATGAAGGGTCATTTTAAATGGCATGGTTTATATTTAGACATTTTAAATATTTTAGTTCAAAGTATGAAAAGTATATATAACTAATCAATTTCTATAACATAACATCACGCACACACACCATCGTGCACATTACAACACTTAAAGCCACTATAAAATGTAATATCCATTTTTCACTTGATGGGGTGAGCCTATTGCCATATACCGGGCACAATTCCAGACTGCCTCGTTGGCCGAGTGGTCGCATGTGCGACTGCTGGGTAAGGGGTCTCGGGTTTGACTACCGCGTCAATGTATTATTAGGTTTTTAAAATCTCAGTAGTAGCAATTTCTATAATATAAGAAATTAGTAATATTGTTTAAAGGTATTTTTAAATGTCGACTCTCTCTTTGTACAGTAACAAGAGTAATGGTAGTTAAGTCCCAATTGAAAACTCTCATTGTCGAAATTACAGGGCTAGGCTACACTTAGCATTTTTTAAATTATAAAAGCAATATTTGTGACACATAATTTAATTAAATGGTTCATTTAGTCGGTAGCTCTCACGTCCATCCATTGAAACAATAAGGCCTTGTCATTTTGAAATGGTCAGCAACAAAAGTTACAAAAGGTCAAATAAACAAAAGTATCGAAACGAAATAAGCTCGTGGTTTAATGTTGTTTATTGTTCTTGTCTTTATTTCTTTCTCCTGACCTTTTCCCGACTAGATTGGGTCGCCATTGAATCTTAACCAGAATCACCTGAATGTCATTATTTTACATGAAGCGATTTGATCTTCACAAGTCACTAGGAGTAATACATTAACTAAAACTCATATACACAACTCATTCAGATCTAGAACAACAATTTGTGGTCGATATAAGAAATCAAACCCACGACACATTGCGCAGCTGGTTGCGTGAACTGCAACGAAAGCAACTAGGTACAAACTTAGGTGTTTACAGGACAAAATATGATTAATTAACAAAGATATACAAGTTAACTGACCAATACATGAAAGCGTGACCTCTGGAATTTCTTTAATAGTTATAACATCGATTGTTTAGTTCTTATTAACAGCTTTCAATTGTTTTCTGTAATATTTTTCTAGAAATGAATAACACGTCTTAAATACGCCGTATTCATCCGATATACTAATATGAATTTATTTAAAAAAAAAATTGATAAAAGCATTTTCAGAAAATTTTGTTTCAATAATTATTAAGAATTTAGTGATTTTTACATGTAGGTAACATTACAAAAACACTATTTAACATTACAAATAATTATATTAATTATAGTCTTTGATACATTTATATAGTAGTAAAAGTGGACCATGAATTCAATACTTTAAACACGAAAGTCCAGGAACATAAACATATTGTTAGCCCTAAAAACGCTCACCAAGAAGAGAATAACGTTTTAAAATTAGAAGGCGCAAAGTCACGATATGACATTCCCGTTAACGTGACAGTTCACGTGGGCCGTAACGCCGTAACTCCGCCGTAATTACGGTTAATCCGACGTTATTAACGCGTGTAACGCGTGCACGTCACGTTATTGTAACGCCTTCGTTATATTAAAGAAGTATTAAAAAACGATAAATTTTGTCTGTACCACATGGAAAACATTATAAGCACCGAAGGTTTATTTTCCTAAAAATGTGTCTGAAATTAGTTAGGAGGGTACATTAGTGTGTATAGTCCCATGTAACAGTTAGTGTGTCTGTGATCACTAACTACTCATAAACATCCATTTCCAAAGCGAATATTGCAGGGCTATTTAATACAGTGTTATATAGCCTAATACTTAAATTTCTATCCCAAGAACCTTAATCACTGCAATAATTAAAATAATTACAAAAAGCAGCAATAAGACGCTTAGTGCTTATGACTCAATGATAATAATTCTTTTTTGATAATAATTACTTAGTTTTATCTTCTTGGACATGATTACATGAACTTTTGACATCTACCTATGTATATTTTGTTATGGCTAATTTAAATAACGTTATAAATAATAATAGTCATTGTAATTTTCACAATATTGCATGCTAAATGGCAGAATGTAGCTGATCAAATAATTTTATAATAACTACTGTACATCTACACTTGTCCTATATTCGCAATGAACTATTTGAATTTGAAGATTTATAAGTAATTCATGATAATTATTACTTATTTCAACCTAAAACATCGATACAAATGTTTGCTACAAACTCACTTCGTAGCCCCGTAGCAGCGTAGCTTCGTAGCAGGCGTAGCACTCTCGTAGACGTTATTGGCTATAGTTAGATACTTTTACTCATGTTTCGACTCAGAATGTTAGGATATCGTTATTCTTGATATTTAGTCTATGAAAATTAATTTAGTATTGCCTAACTCTGCGATAAAATGTATGTAATGAACAGTTATAAATGTAAATAAACTCGTTGATCTCGGTCTGATCTTAGAAGTCACATTAAATGCACTTCCGTATATAAGATTGTTGAAAACTGGAAAAGTAATATTACCAAATAGAAGTTCTTATTACTACGACTTAGTGCATGATCGAGATTTGGACCGCGACGTGACCTATCATTTCGTAGTATACCGTAGCACATCGGCTACGAAATTCGTAGCACCGTAGCCACTAAATACTGTGAGCAAAGACATTTCCTATTAGATAGATATACTATTTGTATCATATTTTAAAAAGTTTTGGTCTTATGTTCATAGCAAAGGCGATATTCAATCGAATTACATAAAGAGAAAGGTAATAATGTGAAGAGGTGAATATCTATCGATGTAACTCGAAGCTATATTTTACGACGCTACGTACCCATTCGCCGTTATTAGGTACCGCTTGTACTAGTGCTACCCTCTCAACTTCCGCGAGTAGCCACAACCTCTACTACTCGTAACCTACATGCCTTGTACTAAACAACTGGATTGTACGTTTCGAGAAGGCTTTCGTATTCGATGAACTGTTGTTCCTGCCAAAAGTGCATCATCGGGATCACTAATTTCAAGATCTTACGGCATCAAGAGATTACGGGTGAGCGCTGCAGTGCGGGGCCCGGGCGAGCGCGGGGTGGGGCGCGCAGGGCGCGGGTGGCGGGGGCGGGGCGCCGCGACCCGGTCACGTCTCGCGCCCAGTGCGGCCGCGGCGCTCCGCCGGCGCGCACCGCGCCGCCCGCCTCTCTTCTATTCAATATAACCTCTATTTGCACCGTGCGATATCCTAACTCGAACACTCTAGTGCTCATTGCATATACATATATTTTATTTTTAATAACCGTATTTGTTGTGGTGACGCGTGTTTGAACGTTTTTTACGTACAAGTGAGTGAGTGAAGTAAAAATGATAGTCGAAATACAGGAGGTATGTTTGTCGGATCCACTGGAAGCTATCGCGCGCTCGTATATCGTATCGTAATAGGATGACACCGGCGCGCCGCCCCTATCACTACGTCTAATGGATTTTTTACGACCGCGAACACGTAGACGGTAGTGTGCACCGGACGCAGCGGCATTTACTGCAATCGGCAGTTTATCGCAACAATTTGATAACAATTGAATAGAATCAGAGGGAACAATTTATTAAGTAGGCGGCGAGTGGAGCATGTGATGGTAATAATGCGCGAATTTTTGAGATGAAACTTTTTTAATGGCTCATAAGTTTCCAGTCCCAGTCTAGATTAAAGATCGTGCAGGGCGGTGATGTCAGTGGGTCAACGCACAGTGCGTGCGGGGCGCGGGGCGCGCGGGGCGTGTCAGCGGGGTGCGCGGGGCGGGTGGAGGTCGCTCGGGCGTTGCACCGCTGCAGCCAGTGCAGGCGCTACGGACGACCGCTACGCACTACGTAGACGGCTACGCCGTAGCCCCTGGGGCGTAGCATAGTTGTAGTATTTTACTGTATGATGCGATTAATTTGTATTGTCTAGTAACGAATGAACAGTTTAGTGTTGTCATTAGTTATTACCTGATCATAAGTTTAAGAAGTACTGATGACTTGCAATAACTTGATTTATTTATTCGATTACGATCGAATGATAAGAGTTACATATCAGTCGATAATATATGATACTTACATGATTAGCTATGAGTTATTATAAAGTAATGGAATCAAATGGTATGTATGGAAAACTTGTGTCTATTCATATACCAATTCCTGTTAAGTCTAATAATCTTTTATTAATTGTTCTTCTGGCGCTTAAAGAAAATTAATTTAAACGATAGGCGTTATTTTGTGATTACAGATTTTCAAGATAAGACACGTGGTTTTAAGATTTTTACCGATAATTTTAATATTTTCAGGAGGTCAGAGGAAAGAGGCCTTTCAAGATATGGGACAGTTCAAGGAACGTGAGGAAGGGACTGGTGGTCACTAGCTTCGAGGAGTTAATTCACAGAGGTCAGTACCCTGGCGGTGTTCACCCTGTCCCGTGTGTACCCTGGCACTGGTTCACCCTAGTGACCTACAGGAGTCTAGCAGGGGACAGGGGAAGGACCTCGCCCACTTTATACATACATAGATTAGATAGGACACAAATCATATACTATTTTATGAAATTGATTTATGTATTTACAAGTAAGAGGGATTATGTTAGTGAGATAGTACTTGTAATAGAACTTTATTAATTAGTTAATTGTTTAGTTAATTGTTGCACAATTTCATCAATTTTGCGTTCATATTTGAACAACTTTTATAACAAAGTATTATTCGCGTACAATACACGTCACTGCTCTATTCTACTTTTTGTAAATAATAGTTTTTCTTTTTTATTCTTTGCCATTGTATTGAGAAGTATTAAATTTTAATTTTAGCCACGAATAATATCAAGCCTCTTGTGACTTTCTTATCAATAATTGTGTATGAATGTCGAATTTCAAGTTATTATCAAAATTTTCACACACTTTATAACACAGGTCGATCTTGTTATCATAAATCTGAGACGCCCTCGTTGCTCGGTCATCGTACCTTAGCCTTGCAATCATTTAACCAAGTAGGCTGAATAATGGGAATAAGAATGTGTTAAGAGTTACTTATGTTAAAAGTCTCAAGTAGAAGGAGGTAACACTATTTATATAAACCTGAAATAACTTCAAACTCCGTGCTAATACTGAGAAATTTCCTAACACCCATAAAAACTACAATATCTTTGCTCTATCAAGAAATCGAATCTGCAACGCCATAGTCGGCAGTCAAGATTACGACCGCTCGAATTACGAGTCAATCTATTAGTTATATGACATTTTGTTCTTCAATTAGTAGATTGAATTATTTAAGTTATTGGTTTTAAAGTTTTTTTAAAGTTTATTATTATAGACTTGGTAACACGTCAGCACCTCGTGATGTGAGTTGAACGTAACGAACCGAACGCGCAAACATATTTAGTGCAACTTCACTTGAGGATTGACATCCATACAAAATTTTACTTTGACATTGACTTTAGAAGTAAGAAGTTGATGTTTGTTATTAATGACAAGTGTTAAAAACAACCAACCAACCAACGATTCTGGATTATAAACATTTTAATATTAAAGTTTTTAATAATAGCAGAGCTTTGTTGCTCATCAGTATTAAATATAAAGTAATAGCCGAAAAAGCTAAAGTTAAATTTAAACAACTACGCGTAAATCGCACTACTTTCAACCATAAAACAGATGATATGATATAAAACTAAATTCCTATAAGACCAGATAAATTTAGGTTTTTGCAATCCCGGGCAAAACAGATTCGACTAGAAATAAATAATAAACACGGAATATTCCGGTGTCGTAATGTAATCGAGTGATCGGGTTTGATCGTCAATTAGCAGCAGAGCGCAGGCCGGCCGTGCAGGTCAACCGCTTTATTCGCCCCACTGCACTCGCCTGACCTGTTTTCCACTCACCCTAGCCACTAGCGCTAGTCTGGACCAACTGTTGTACGGACACCTTGTCTCTCAGTAGTCCCCTGTCATAATTTTTAACATTTTGGTATTATTTTAACAGTTAACGTATTGTTTAGACTTCCATAGTTTAGCGGTACGGTTACGGTGTTCTTCTTTATAAAACAATGGGATAGGAATTTCGTTTACCTATGTGATATAGTTAAGTGACTTTTCTGCTTCGTATTTTTCAGAATTAGAAATATGTATATGATGTAATACTTCAAGATCATCGTACTCATCGATCGAATTACGAATTTAAAGTAATTTTGTTTCAAATAGAGTTACGTTATAAGTTTAGGATGTAATATATTTATCTCCGTCCAGGTAAGGAAAAGTTATCGGTAGCGGCGAGCGAGCCGGTGCGGCTTGTGCTAGAGAGTGACGGCACTCAGGTCGAGGACGGCGAGTACTGGCGCACACTCCCACCCAACACAGTGCTGCTACTGCTGCGGCCTGGAGAGCGATGGTACCCCACGGGAGTCGATGTTATCAAGGCTGGTGAGTCATCTGATATCAATAACCTATCAAGTCTGAATATTTAATGTTTTTTTATTTTGTCAAATATTTTATGTATCACACAAACTGCCTAGTCGCTGAAACGGAAAATTATATTAATTCCAGCAATTTCGGCGATACCAAAGATAGTATGCGAAACTATTCACGCACTCGAGTTGCACGATGAGACGCCTTCATGGAAGATCATGGACAACAAGGGGCGCGTCACGGTGGTGCTGCATTGGGACCAGCGGCCGCAGGCGTCACCGGCCGCGCGCTCACCCTCGCGCCAGCCGAAGCCCGACCGACGACCTTCCCTCGTCATCCAGACATCACTAGACAGGCCGCAACCTGCACCGCCACACATAACCGTCGTGAATCACGACGAGCCGGGCCCGGCGCCGCGCCGTCTGTCACGAGCTCCCGGCTCGCTCGAGCAGCCGGGAGGCGTGCACGTGCACACAGCCGACTGCCGCGCCACCGCCTCGCCTGCACCGCTCGCGCGCCCACCGCCCGACGAGTGCGACTTTCACTGCTGCGCGTTGCACGAGGAGGGTCGTCGGATCGCCGTGCACAAGAGCGTCGCCACCTCGCCCATCCAGGACGCGCAGCCGCGTGCTTCGCCACAAGGTCGGCCGAAAGGTCACGTGCGTTTTCTCGACGCGGAGTCGGCACGACGCGGCGACCGGGACTCTTCCGAGAGCGAAACAGAAAACACCCTCGTCGAGGACGAGGCTGTCACCTCCGAGAAATTTCTTCTGCTAATCGACCAGCTGAGCGTCGATCAGAAACGGCACCTCACCATCAAAGATATCGGCATCATCCTCGAGCGGCTAAGCTCCAAAATCCTAGACGTGGAGCGCCTAGACCGAGAGTCGGAGTCGGACGACTGCTACAACTGGACGATCAAAGCAACGATCAGAGGCGATGCATTACGGGAACTAGGCGTCATCTACAATGGAAACTACTATGCAATCAGCGAGCACCCAGGGTACCGGGAGGAGAACGAGGAGGCCGGAGACGAGGGTGAAGAGGAAGAGGAGGAAGATAGACTCTGATCGGGCCTGTGCGGCGCCGCCGTGCCCGCCGCCGCCGCCGCCGTGCGCACCGCGCTGTGCCGCATCGCCGCGCGCTGACCGGCCGGCCCGCCGCACTCCCGCAACACACCGCAGCCGAGCGCTACAACGCGTGAAAGCAATATTCGTTACTAAGGTTTCGTCGCCGATCCGGGCGAAACGACAGGATCGGCCCGCGCATGAAGACTCGGACGCAGTCCCTGTCGAGTCGCGGGCACAGCAGTACGAGGGCAGCGCGCGCCGTCTGGCGGCCGCGGCGCGTCGCCAGCCACAGCGCTCACGACGGATCTCCCGCCGAAGTGAATATTTAGAGACTTATATATGAAATTTGTCGCGGCCCCGCCAAGCGCCATGACCGGTCGCGTCAATTGGCAGCGCGGGGTCGTACCCTAGTTAATAAATAGCGAAATTATTGTAAGTAAAACTGACTTCCTATCGATTACTAAGGTGATTACTTAAGTGTAAGCCGGTCGTGTGTCGAGGGCCGCCGCCTCGCTCGCATAGCGTACTGTGTATTATATATGCGTCACCGGAACACAACATCAGCACAAATGTCTATCATCGAGGTTATTGTCAATGTTTTAGGTAATAATAAATTGAAGGTGCGCGCCCGTCGCCACCGCTCCCCGTTCGTACCGCGTTTGTTTCGTCCGCCGCGCGACTCTGCACCGAGGCATTGTTGATATCGGTGGCGATGTCCGTGTGGCTACACATAGTTCATTCAAAGTTGGCCTAATCTTGGGGAATAAGTTTCTGTATAAACTCATTATCATCATCGATGCATCCCGTAGTCGACGAAGTCTAAATAAAAACACCAGAGTGTGAGACTCAATAACAATAAAATGATAGAGTTGTAGCGTATGAAGGAGCGGGCCGAGACCGCTGCACGTCACTTACGCACGGAGGGAACTAACTTGCTCATGTATTCAGTTAACGTATGTATCGTACCGAGGAGTCGTGGCAGACACTATCGCTTGCTGACACACTGGGGACTACTAGGTTGCAGGTGACGACACGCCGGCCGCGCAGGCCACGACATCGGGCGCGTGTGTCGGCGGCTCGCCTCAGAGCGATAGTACCAAAGAGAATGACGATGTTTCAGAGAGAATTCATTACATGAATAGATTTATATAAAATTATTATAATTAATAAAATTGAATGTTAAAAATAAAATGGTTGTATCTAAAATACGAATATACCTACCGTCATGCGTCAGTCATCTTGCTACATGGGTATTGGTAGTCGGTAAGTTGATTCTTGTATTTATTAGCTATATGGTATCGTAGTATTACTGTATAATGTTTTTAATTTTTGTATAGTACGGAGGTCGTGGTGGTCACGCATTAATGTATAATATAAACAAAACAATGTGGTTTCATAAGTTTTACAGCCGGGAGGCTTTCATATTGTATAGTTATTTAAGGTGTAATATTAACGATTATTATTGGATATTATTGAAGGAGTACGTGGATACACTTGTTTGTGATGAGGTACCGTGTCGTGTTTGTTTCGCGTGACCTATGTTACATGTTGGCGGGATCGCGGATGCGCGAGCTTTTTGGAACGTCTCCGAAACGAATCTCAGTCGCGTGGAATATAAATGAACAAACTGTGATTACTAACTGCATTTACATAAATGCCAACGTTGATTTAGCTAATAGAACTGTCATCGTGTCCCAAATCGCTCGTGGGCCCCCTGTCCGACATACTACTTGTATATTATTTGTCATCGTACTTCAGAACGGTCTTTAAAGATCCCGTTTGAGATTCATTCCTAAATTAACAATTTGTCAACGATCAATATATTTATATATTCGATAATATATATTATGAACCTATTTTCGTGAACCGAAAATATAAAATTTGATGTTTTGATATATTATTGGATAGAATTTGATTTTAAAGTTTGATATTGTGACTTGTCCTAAAGTTACTTAATTTTCAATTTACTATCGCTATTAAAGTTTAGGGGAAGCTGTAAGTTTCGTTAAAAAGTTTTCATAAAATAAGTGGCCGGGTTGAAGTGGAAATGACTCCAATGTCGTCGTGTCTGTTTCTGGTGCACTAGCGCTCTGTGCGCACTGCGCGACGCGAGTTACATTCTGCAACGTTGTGCGCGTCCTCCACGTCACGGGACCGCTGCGAGCGTGCATGTCTGATGTCATACATTGTGACGTCACGCAAACCCGACCCTGTGACGTTGAGGATGGTCGTATGGCATCTCTTGAAGTTTTATATGGTAATACTGAGAGTTAGGTCTTCAATGTTATGACTGCGATTTTTCTTACGTTGTGTCTGTCTGAAGATGACTGTTGATTAATGAATTGTTTTAAGATAGACAACGCGCTGGGACGTAAATTTTCGTATGAGATGGATTGAAATCTTTGAAAAAGCATAACAAAATTCACAAACCTCAGTCAAGGTAATGGAGCAAGTGGTCACAATGTCACAGTGACGTCACCCAGCGTGTGGTCTACCTAAAGCACCGCAATACTATGTATGTACATGCGCATGTGTGCGTGCTACTTTACGTTCACTTCTACATTTGTTTGTACAGCTAATGGTGAGTCTATGGAGTTACGATCCGTTACGCACATGATATTATATCTAGTTAAAACGTTCCGTTTTAATATTTTTATGTGTATAGGAGTAATGATAAATTGTAAAAATTGGTTTGTGACGCGTATGACCTGCGGTTGTAATTGGGGAGGTGGAGAGTAAGCAATGCAAGCTGTGCCGACACTGACAGATAGGCAGACATTTCGTTGTAATGTATTGAAAGCAAGGTTCACACGAGACAGGCGACGTTCGAGCAACAGTTGCATTGCTTAAGTCTTCAGTTGTTGTGTACAATGGTATTGTTGCATTGTCCATTCAACAGTGGCATATAAATCATAATAATTTAATTACTATCAGTTTGTGTTGCTAACTTTATATGAATATAACATTATAAACTAAAACATTTGCAATATAAATGGTATTTTGTTAAGTTTGGATCATTATACATGACAGTATCATGTACAATAGTGGCGCCGGATTGATGGGGTGTGTACGGCCGACAGATACTCGATAGTAATTGAATTATAGAGTTCCATGCCAGTAGAGCACTGGTTGCCTCGTGGTGTGGGTAATAGTTCCATGACTGAAATAATATTAAGTGTATCATCTCTACTGTTGGACTGCATGTAACAACATTGTGGCTGGGGACCGAGCAGGGCGAACTTAGCAAATAACTATGACATATTGTAGAACAAATTAATGAATTGGAAATATCCTTCGACGCAAGGAAGTGTGAATGTTGCTATATTGTGCTGTGGGAGCTAACATTTACTGTGAAGCGAACGAACGCCCTCTCGTCCCCGGAAACCTTCCCAAATTGTATTTCTTTCGAAATATACCTAAATAATGATTAGATAACTAATAATATATAAACGATAACAGAATTTTCGAAAAACACTTTCGTTTTCGAACCTCGTTTTTATAGGCAAACAAATAGTTACGTCATTGTTTTTTAAGTCAGATTTTAAGATGGATATTGATTTGTAGCATTTCCTTGTAATCCAATAAACACGGACTTTAAGAATTATAAAACTGATCTTTTAGGATCATTGTAGTGGACGCCATAGGTAATGGTGTTGCGAAATTATACTATTTAATGTCAAATCTTTAAATATTACTCCTCGCATATTGAACCTGTGAAATCCAAATGTGGAATTGATGTATAGCAGTGAACGCTTTGGTCCGTCTTCTGGGTTCTACGAGCATCTGTTACAACTCAGTAAGCAGCTTAACTCGCAGTGAGCAGTGTATCGTGCAAACACAAATACGTAAACTATTCAATGTTAGTTGTTCATACACTACATAGCACTTAGGGGACTCCTTGTAAACTTACGTGCCAAATCGTTCTTATTTTACGAACCATTGTCCAACTCTGTGACTTCGACGTCAGCTTGTCGAATCCAACGTCAACAGCTTTGACTCGACTTAAGACTAGTGAATATGTTAACGTAACTTATACATTATGACGCTGTATTAGACACTGTGACGTCGGGAGTACGCTGTAGAGTTTTTATAAAATGTCGAATACATAAAGTAGCAAGCTTCGGCGACCGGCTTCTAAGGCCTAGTCCCGGAGCCATAAGAATTGTTGTAACAATGTGCCAACTTATGAGTTAATGTAATATTAGTTAAGTTAGATTATGGCACGTAAAAACCCATGTAAACACAGTCGGAACTGCATTTTGAAGTGTGTGGCCAACACAATAATCGAAATAGATTTCTTAAAAATATATTAATCTGTAAGCAATAGTCAAGGTTTTGGACAATCAAGCAGCACACACAAAAGACTTATAATACTGTAATACTTATCACACGCATTGTTATACACTAAAGCATAATACACTTCAAAATAAAGTTCCTCACTCCAGAATCGAACCACGTAATGGCATCGATCACTCGTACCCATACATATGTAACCCGAGAACATTTATTTTTGTATTCACTCGACGAACGTGAGACAGATACTGGCTTCTGTTAAACACTCAATAATTACCCAAAAACTTCACTGCCACTAATTTAAAAATAAAAATATTGGAAACGAAAAAGTTTGTTGTTTTATTTTTCTCACAATGTAACAAATACCCACTTTACTTCAGTTACCTTACACCAGTTAATGAGGATGTAATGTTATTACACCACCACCAGCAAAACAGTAAATATCAGAAAATTGAAAATCCAATATTGACTAGTCAAACCCTGAAATGAAATTCGGGACAGCGAAATGAAACTCGACGATCGACCACCTAGATAGTCTTACAAAACACGTTAATGAAATAAAAGTATAGTACACGAGAATAATACAACTAGAGACGAAAGCAGACCGTATTTATAGATTTTGTTCACTGAATACACAGGGATACTTATCATTTTGTAGTCAGCAATATGATAATATCTATTACAAACCAACTGATCAAATTCAATTATACAAAGGTAGTGCCTGTATATAACGGCAGCTGCAGCTCACTAGAATTAATCTAGTGTGATACAACACGAATAAAACTGCGAATTATTTAAAGTGTCACTTTGGAGATACTATCAATATCAATAATATGCTAATACCATGTGCACATGCAAAATGTGTTCGTAAAGTCTCACAAAAGTGCACTATGGATGAATTGAATTTGGGTTTATATTTCGCAATTCTGTAACACATTCAATCTTATGAAAGGCGAAAAATGTTCAGTATAAACACTCAGTAAATAGTTATTGTTCAATGAAAACCAAAAGGATGTCATCAAAACATATATTTTTACCAAAATAAAAATAGTTTCAAAAACGGTTTTACAATGTAAACATTTAACGACGACACGAACTGTGTTTCATCAGGTTTCTTAAATTTATTTTCGTTGTATTCTTCCAGTTTCCGGCTTTTTAGTTGAAAATCAACTGTAGCGCACACTATTGCAGACAACCAACTCTCGAAATTTATCTTATCAAGTCCTCAGCGAATGGTAGTTAGACTGCTTCAGCATAACTATGCTAGCGCGTGCCTATCTGGTCGTCGCTAGCGGTCGCAGCTTGTCGGAGTAAGCGTTTATGGCCTTAGTTACTAGAGCTATGCATACTTGAGCCAGGTCTATGGATGAGCGCATGTCTGTAAACGCATTAATGCCCGTTTCTCTGCCATCCTCATCTTGTCAAGCACTGACTGCATCTCAGGCCATGGTGGGTATTTCTGATTAATAATGATTAGCTTGTGAATTGTAGGGCACCTCAGGTCCATCGTGCGCGATATGTTCTCTCGACTGCGTGACGTAAACACAACGTCCACCTATAACGAGTTGATATATAAAACTAATTATTTGTTTACAACTTATTCACAACGATACTCATTATACAATACCAATTTCAAAAAGTAATGACTATGTCCATATAACAGGTACCTAATTTAAAAAAATCATAAATTGAATAAATACTAGTTAGTTTTATGCTTGTAGGTCCCGGTGTTGCACTTGTGTTATAATATTTCCTCGCGTTTCATTCACAGCATTACACTTGCTTCACTAAAAGTCTACATTTGAAATCTAACAATGAAATATTGTAAACAACGCACCTTATTTTGACATGCGTATACAATGGAATAGAACATGAACGATAAGGCCACGCCTGTTGCTATGAACAGAGGAATAATTTCCCAGCGCTCTCTTATAATACACCCGAATTTTAATCTGCTTGGGAATGGCACGTCGTACTGAGTAGGTGGTATCATGTCCGCGTATCGCACATTTAGTATTTTTGGAATGACCTTCCTCGTCAGAAGCAGTCCAACATTAGATTTATATGTAGATCGTATAAATTTTGAAAGCATTTTAATGCGAATTGAAGCATTAACTTCAATTATTTATTTTCCTGATGTATACAAAAAGTTGGTGACGTAACATGTCAATATTAAAAAAGATTCTATAATCAAAATAGTTATATCTCTTAATAACGAACTCAGCAAAGAGATCCGACTTTACTTTAACAAGTAATATTGTCAATTACGATGTCTTTACCGCACACTAGAAGTGTCTTCTTATTATATTTCTTGATATTGCAATTCGATATGCCTAATTAGATAAATTGGTCAACTATCTTATGAATATGTGACTTGGAAGACATCCAGCCAGCACCAATATCCCGAATAATAATGTGACAGCCTAAGACAAAACCCCCTATACTTATTATACTCTTTGGACAAAACTTAGATTACTTACTATGGCCAGAGTTTAAAACACTGGCCATAAAAGTATTGTCGATGAATAAAAATATATTGACGCAAAAGTCAGATGAAATTCAAAAGTCAAACGTATATTTAATGATAATTTAATAAAATTTAATAATAAGCGTAATTATTGTGATTTTGGAATACCTTTTCAGGCAAATATGGAATTTTTGTTTAAAGAGTCACATTTACGACAATCGTAAATTGTCATATAGGAGAACAGGTAATAGTCAACTTTAGGCCATTAAATAGTAATCTAAATACAAGAAATATTTAATGCATATCTTAAAGATGTTGTTTAAATCCATAAAAATACATAAGTCATTGGTTGTACCTTGTGATGAGTTAGTAATGTCATCCCAGTCTTTTATTGGTTAACAGACGTCATCGGTGCGAGGGTTGGTGATGACCTTGCGCACCCCACGACGTCGCATCTCGCCACGCACCAAGCGTAGATATCGGGCCATAAGGGAGTTCTTCCGCAGAGCGCTAGGTGACTATAAACTTACTATAATCTTATATCATAATTACTGTAAAGAACACAATTATAATGTACAAAGCATCTCAATACTTGTAATTTTGCAGGTAGCTCGTCGCAGCCGGATCTTAAAATAAGTTCCAGTATAGCTTTAAATGTCACTGATCTTAAACGTAAGATAGTTGGCCTCGAACAACAGTTGGACGAGGTAAACCGACATTGTAAAGATATCACGTGCTTTGATTGCTCTAGGCAAGAGTCCGAAAGCTGCCTTAGGTCAGAAGCGAGGAACGTTAGGGAGTCAGAGAGCTCCAACCCGTCAGAGGGGCAGCACTTGAGAGAATTGGACAGCTGCAACCCCTCTGAGGGAAAGTTCGTGAGAAATTCAAACAGCTACATTTTAGCAGACGTAAAGAATGAGATAGATACGATCGAGGAACAGACTGAGACATCTTACGAGAGAAAGTTGAATGGCACCGAAACTAAATTTCTATACAAGTCTTCTGATGGTAATTATATAAAATCTGAAGAGAGCGAAAACATCTGCAACATTCAAGATGCGATCGACGCGAAACAAACACAGGGTTTACTTGACGAGTACGGAAGACATATCACTAAAGTAAAAAATAAAAAAAATAAACTGAATAGAAGTAATGATCACAGCGCAAAATTACATAAATATAAAGCGAGATCAGTTTACGATAATATAGTTTCTGCTAATTCTACCAGTAGTTTTCGTTCGCTTGCAGAGCCACGGATGGTCCGTTCTGGTAGCCCTGGTTACTCAGGTCCTCATAAAGACAGAAATTATTTACCAGAATATGCAGAGCCCGCACCTTCGCGTACCCATAAAGATAAGAAATACAGAGAGCTTATGAAAAGAAATAAGATTGAATTACAAAAAGAATATTATGAGCCGCGGCCTCTTAAGGCCCGTAAACACAAACACCAGAATCGAGAACTAGATCAAGATTTTATAGCTGATATAATTAGAAGACAATATAAGCCTGTGAAAATGTATGATAGAAGACAATCTGACCTGAGTCAGATCTCAGCACCTATTTGTCGGGATCAGGAATTTCCCTCCATCCGTGAAGATATACAGGAGGGTACCGAATTATGTTCATGCTGTTACGATGTAACTAAGCACAAGACAAAATACAATGACCTTAGCGAAATGAGAAGCATTTGCGATACTCGTCTATACAGTTCTAAGAAACAAGCCCGAGGTAGACGTCGCAGAGTACCCATGGAGGTTTATGATAATTCCGACCTCTATGATCTGATTCCTGTGAAAGAAAAGTGTAGTCCAAAGACACGGAGAAAATTCGTGGAGGATACTATGATACCTTATGAATATTACAGAGAAGTGCCACCATCACCAAGGACACTAAGGCCAAAGCTTAATCTCAAAGCACAGTATAACACGGAATTTGAAGACTATATGACGCACATGAAACATGCTGCTAAGAAAGGTTCACCACATAAGCAGAGACGACGACGCGAGCGCCTTGAAGTTGAAAGCGACATAACATCAGTAGTTGATCAGAAGTTAACTAAAAGACAATTACTCAAGACGCATAAAAATATGACGTGTCAGGTCGAGAACGACGATTTATGCCAACGAGACAACGCTACTGCAGTCAGTTTACAATATCCAACGTATACGAATGACCAAGCTAATGCTACAATTGAAACAGCGTTTAATAAAACAGACGAAATAGAAATGCCTGTTGATAAAACTGATAAAGCGTTGTGTGAAATAAAAGATATATTACAAAATTTTTTACATGAAATAAAGAAAGAAACTACACCCTCACAATGTGATAAATCCGAAATCTCCTCAAAAGATGAAAATTGTGAAAATAATAACATAAATGAAAATAGTACTAAGATTACTGGCAGCAGGATGCCTAACAGTAGGCACAGCATTAATTACAGCGTAGGTTGCAATCAGTCTCCGTATATGACACCATTCCAGAATCCGTGCTGCTATCCGATGATGCAGATGTGCCCCATGAACTGTCCTATTTCCATGCAGAGCGGCTTTATGATTCCCAGTCAAAGCTACACCTGTACAAACTGCGTTAATGCGTCAAAGGAGCCAGTTCATAGCGAGCATTGCTGTAATAAGAACGTAACTACAACCGGTACTTGCCACACCGAAACTTGTCACACAGAAACAGAGGAGCTTATTAAAGAAATCTATAAATTTGTAGCACAAAGCCCTAATAGGAAAAAAGAAACTGATTGGAACGAAGCTCGAAATGTTGGAACCAAAATACTAACGTCAAGAAGCGTCGGCGAAAGTTCCAAAATCTCTAAACACGATGCTAAAGTGGGAACAGCGCCACTCAAATGTTATTCAAAGAGTTGTGAAGCAATCGGGTCCAGAAACGGTTCCGACGAATACACTAGCGAAACTAACCCTACTTATTCAGATACTTTATTAGAAAAATTCAGTTTAGAAGCGACACAATCTACTATTGATACCGAAATGGAGGATATCATTACTACTGAAGGAAAGGTATAATCTATATTTTTTTATTCATAAGTACTTCTAATCTATACTCTGTATAAAATGCATTAATTTATGTTTCAGGACAAAAAAAAGAAATTTTCTAATGTCCTGCGATCCTTTGGTATGTTTAAAAAGAAGAAGAAAGATGTTATTGAAGAACTCAGCGAAAGTGAAAGTGCAGTTGGAGTACCAGTACAACCAATGCCTCCAAGAGCACCGTATCAACAGGAGATGATAACAAACTACATGATGCAGGATCCAGAATACTATCGCCCACCACCCCCCATGACGTCTTATTATCCGAGACCTCATGAGTATCACCCGGATTATCATCCACCCTATAACCCTGGGTTACCCGAGTATCAGCCACCACAACCTCTTCACGATTACTATGGACCCAGAATGCCATACCCGGGAATGGCAGAACAAGCCAGCGCACCCCCTCTACATCCTAAGGAACGACCTACCGCTCCTCCGTACCACAGCACTTACGACAATCCATACAAACCAATGCAACAGCCACAGGTACCGCTCTGTTTAAAAGAAATAGAAGTAAAAAGCATTGCTACACAAAGTGAAAGAAAGATGTCAATATTCCGGAAGATCAAGAAGAAGATGAAGTTACCACAACTACAACCACCGCCCCAGCCGATGCCACAATCATCAGATGACGATAACTACCAAAAGACTTGTTCCACGCAGACACAGGTTGCCGAGACCAAGTTTGCGCCTGTTACAAAGCCTTTATTTAACTGGAAGAAACTACAAGCCAAAGCTATGGGAAATCAGTCAGAAGTTGATACTATGAAAAACTTCACTGCACTTGCCCAGAAAGAGTTAGCTGATAATGACCTCAAAATGAGAAATGTGATGATGAAGAAATTATTTAATAAAAGAAATCCTTTCTCTCCGAAGAATCTCATGGTGCAGACGTTGTTAGGAAGAGACAAAAATTACATTGAGCCCCCTGTCATGTTCAAGCCGAAACTGTTCCTTTGATTTTGTGCTCGGAGTCAGTGTGGAAAAATGTAGCGTTTTGTATTTTAACGTTGTTTTAAGAATTTGTTAAAAGCATCTTTGTATTTTATTTATCGATGATTCCCTAATTTCAGCGGCTCGAGTTACATAAGGACTATATGTACAGGAACATAACATCACGCCCTTTAGATCACTATTGGATTATCATCATCATCACTATCCACAAGTGCCCACCGTTGAGCGAAACCCTCTTCTAAAAGATTTGAGAATAATTACCACGCTTGCTCAAGGCTAATTGGCGATATCAAACTTATCTACACTAATATTATAAAGAGGAAAGATTAGATTTTTTTGTTTGTTTGAATTGAGTCTCCTTCGAAACTACTGGACCGATTTGAAAAATTCTTTACCTTTGGAATTGTACATTATCGATGATGAACATAGGCTATATTTTATTTATTATATAAAAGAGAAAAAAAGGACCATATGAAAATTTCGATAATGTAACCCGATGTATAAAAATACTACCAAAAAACTCCTTATATTGCTTGACTTTGACTGCCAGTAGAAAACTGTTTTCAAGTATTAATAAATACTATTTAGCTGCATCAGAATCAGAGATTTTAAAGAAAAAATACAAATTCAAATAATACTATTATTGTAAACTAAGTATGTGCCCTTACCTTACTGTTATGTTTTCCTTCACCGTATGTTAGTGTACGTAGTACGTAGATAATTCATACGTTATTGACAGATTACTTGCCAAATGCCAGGCTTCGAACCCGAAGCACTTCGTTAGATTCCTATAACCATTTTTGAGAGGGAAAAATCATTAAATGACTTCTCCCAACTTAGTCTTTATTACTTAACGCGGTAATAAAGATTTTTTGAAGATTCAATGGCTCTTATGCACTAGAATTATCAATCAATGGAATTATGATTTTTTTTATTTGTTAATTTTATTTGCACCTAATATAATAGATTTATACAATATATTAATAGAATAAGGGTAATAATTATACAAAGCCGTGGTGCATATTTCCAATTCCTAGACAATAGACTTTAATTTAAAACTTGAGCTCCAAACCTCAAACAGCAGTGTGTCCTGTCCCAATCCTGTCTGGTAAACTTGTCGATAGAAATGGCCAGAATTCAAACACCTGACAGATGGAATGCGAGGCTGATGTTGAAAGAAGTCACAAACGTCATCAGGCCCAAATGTGAGCGATCTGGATAAATGATTCGTAAAACATAATTTTAAGTTTATTAAGTTAATCCCGGAATTAACAAAATGAAATTACTTGTTAACAAAAGAACGGAAAGTGCATCTCTGGTCAAGTAACAGGTGGAAGTGACCTGCATATTTTGAACGGTAGGTAAGTTGGAATACAAATAATTTATTTTATTTATTACATCTCAGTGCTTCAACATAGATGAAACATTTCAGACAGTTCCTGTAGCAAAGGAGTTTATCTGATATTTAAATTTGATCTTCAACCGATTTACGTAGCTATTAATAAAGGTCTATCTTGTATGGATCGACATGTAACAGTAGTAGTTTAAAGATATTAATATTGCAGGTGACTGGCACCATGAGCAAAGAACATTTAGCCGGTGGTTCCATGTTATGCCGACAACGATTCAAGGGTGTCGAGAACTTTTTAAGAAGAATTGCATTTAACTTAGGTATCGCAACTTGTATTTAATAATCGAAATAATATTATTTTGCATACATTTCATTCCGATGGTTAATGGAGTAGCCTAGTGACATACTATGTACAGTCGAAAGGGGGATAAGTTAAAATGCATACCACAAAAGTGTATTAGTATTTTGTTTCAATAAGATAATCCATATACTTATTTCTTTCATTCTTATTCTTATTTCATTATTATTTCCTTGTTGTAGGCAATACACCGTCACAAACCGAGGTTAAAATTATATCCTGTATACCAATTGACGTCACAGATTTGCAACAAAAAATACTGCATTTAGAGAAACAACTGGATGGTGGTAACAGTCCAGTAGCATCAGATTCGCTTAAAGATAGCAAAAATCTGAAATGTAACAAACAAATCCCGAGCAGGCGGACCACTGTAAACGCAGCGATTGTAGATTCTAAATTCCCTGAAGTGTCCACTGCAGCGGTATCCTGCAAATCGCTGGATTGCGATCAGAGTACGAGCCCAACATGTTTACAGAAAAGAGGAAAGTCCAACGTTTCGTTTATTTTTCCGAATGTAGACCCTAATGCTATATCCGACCAGCCATTTTCCTGTGGCAACTCTGAATTATCCCAAGGTGCTGAAGACGTAATAAAAGCTAACTATCAAAGTTACGAAGCCGCTCACAAGATGACTGAACCAAAACCAAGCTGTCATCGGAAAACGTTCTTTAAAAAGAAAAAAAAGACGATCAAATATAAAAAGGGGACCTCGCCATTTGTTTACTACGCACAAACGAACAACAGCTCTCCGTTTACTAAGTCCGATCAAACAGAGGATCCAAAATGCGAAAGTGATGTTATGAGTCGTTCATATTTGGCTCAAATGATTAACAAGCAATACAAACCTAAAATTATAGGAGATAACTTATCTATCTTAAGTCAGTTCTCATCACCTGTCTGCAGAGATGTCCAGCCGCGTGTCGGGGGAACTTGTCGATGTGAGTCTGACATATGCTCCTGTTGTTATGGCCCTTTCCACAACATTGACAATCACATGAACAGACTGATTAATCCACAGACTTACATGCTTAATGCGATCAACTTAGGTAACATGTATTATGACACCAAACAATACGACATGATTCCAGTGAAAGAAAAGCCAGTGAAATTGAATACAGAGTCGGCTCGAAAAAAAGAGCAGAAACCATATTTCGATATAAAATGCTGGCCGGAGAGTATACGCTCTAAGTACCACCACTCGATGTACCCTATTCCAGCGGGCAATGTCTACATGCCGCCAGCTGATTGTGTGTTCAAAGATAGATACGACTCCCACGGGAAAAGAATCCCCACAAAAATGAATCGTATAGAACCGATCGTAAGAAAACTAGTAAAACGAAGGAAGGAAGTTTACAAACGAGAGCGGCCGCTGTCTATTGAGACGACGAAAAGTTGTTCTGTAGATTTTGGAAATATTTATTCTAAAAAAAATTGCAAGAAACCCAAGAAACAGGAGATTCGGCAAACTCTTATGCCATCTAAAAAGAACGCCGAATGTTTAACTACCAACATAGTAACTAAAAATTGTAATACCATTGAATGCCAGACAGCCACGAACATACCTGCAAATAATCGAGCTGACGCTAAAACTGAACAAACATTAAATCAGATCAAAGTTATACTTCAATCGGTTCTAGCAGAAGTTAAAGTGACTACGCAAACGAAAAATCAAGTTATTCGAGATAAACCCAAGAAAGATGCAGTCGTCCAAAAAGGACAGTCGCATAACAACATGCAAGGATCCACTTTAATGAATAGTTTCAATTATAGCCCTTATAGCACTATGAACCCGTCTGCCTATATGGCGACGTGCTCGCGACAATTAAACCCCAGTCAACTGGCAGGAGTTATGCCCAATCAGTTGTATTACTCGCATGAGGGAATGAAATGTTTCCACAACTTCCCACTGTTTATACAACCTCCAGGAGGAAGACCCATGTGTGCGAGCTGCTACCGCAACAGCTCTCACATCAAATCTAGTTATATGAAGCACGCGGCAACGATTGCCACCAATACCGAACAAGTTCAAGAAGAGCGTACCAAGGAAACAGAAAAACTAATAAAAGAGATATATAAGTCCATGGCCTTAACTATGGACTTACCGAATAAAGATTCTTCACTCAGCGAATATGATGAAATATTAAAACCAATGATATTAAAATCAGAGCCAAAAAAGCAACCAAAAAAAATTAGGAATGTTGTACAAGCTGTATCTGAATTATTTATAAAGAAAGACATGGTAGACACGTCAGACACCCTCAATACAACGATCGAAAGTAAGGTACTGTCTAACGAAGTGACCACACAATCTCAAATGGTGACAACTACTGATACTTCTGATAGGATACGAGACGAAAGCTATAACAACTATATACGCATTAACCACACGCAACCGACGGACCCGGAACTACAGAGAAAAGTAGTTCGTGAAACCTTGGTGCAGCACAGTGATACTGTCGAGACAGAGACATCAAGTACAGACTATGATATGGAGTCGACAACTCCAGTTAACGACCTGGAACCTAAACAAGTTAGCATTCATTCACACATATCCAATAACATCGTTCATTTTGCTATTAATTAAATTTTTGTATATCATTTTGTTTGAATTCCAGAAAAAAGAAAAGCAAGGTTTATTTAGCAAGATGTTAAAATCTGTGAAGCTCTTCAAGGTAAAAGAAAAACCGAAGCAGATGAGTGTAAGAACTGAGAGCGAAGAAGAATCTACCAGTGACTCAGATGATTACCAGACGGTGTATAGTCAGAAAATTGAGAAAAGTGTTAAAAACCCGTATCGGCCACACAACCTGCCAAAGCGTAAAACCCATTCGAAGATATCTTACAAACAAATATACCAAAGAGATAGAAGTCCTGAGAAAAAGAGGTCGCCCTACATGGAACAGGAGTACCGGAGGTACTGGGACGAGAGGTTGATGTTCCAGAATAACAGAGCGCGCCGCTCCTCGGAGCGGATGTACTCCGACCTGACAAATGCCTATCGTGCTCGCTACCAAACTTACGAAGCCAGGAGTGCTCTTATTGAACCAAAGTCGACGAGTCCGAAAACTGGACGGAAAACAAACAGAGCAGTGAATAGTGACAATAAACTGAAGGGGTCGTCCAAAGGGATGCCGTGGCTGCGGAAACATAAGCCGGGCATCCATTGCGGGTGCGGCGAGGCGTGGAAGAAGAAGTTACTTGAAGGTTAAATTACTCCCTGTGTTGTTTTGTGCTAATGTGATACGTCCGTATAATGTGTTATTGTGTCAAAAATGTGTAATAAAAATTTCAGTCTCAATTGTTATTTATTTTTAAACTCAAAGCTAAATATGTTAATAAAGTCAAACTAGGCTTATGAATTATAAAAAACATAAGTACCATTAAATATATTTCACTAATTATGTCCAAGGTTCCAACTATCAATCGTTTTTATTTAGACTTATTTCCTATTGTATTGCTAGATCCTATATTGTATTGCTAGAGTTTTTTGCGGTCCTCTTTTCAACAATAGTACGGAGTACCCATATCTTGTCTATTATTTTTGAGATTTAGAATTGAGGCGGATTCGAGATAATTTAAGTCAAGGTAAGCAGAAGTTGTTCACTTAAAAAAAGTTGTTCACTTTATTTATTGCAAGTTGTTTATTGACTTAAAAACTTATATACAAAAACAGTAAGTTACTTATCTATTACCTAATAAAAGTCTTCCTCTCACGTCATCTTAAAAGCAAACTTGTCCAATTCACTTGATGCCACGTACCGTAGATCAGCTATCACGTAACTGAAAACAAAAAGAAATACCTGTTACTAAATAACACAACCACTGTTCTTTATATGGGGTTGGCAGAAGTGCAAGTAGGTACGAAGTAAAAAAATAACACTTGATAGTTTCGGAAACCGGAAATCTGAAACTTATAAAAGATAGTCGCACATGTAACCAACAAGACTTGTTTATAGGGAGTCATTAGCGATCCATTATTATTATCATCATGCCTGCATGCATTATATCAACCGCAAGACACCTTCCCCAATTCAGAGCCGCGGAGGCCTGGCTCCGGCTCGAACAGGAGTGGGAACAGGGTGGTTTTAGTCAGTAAGAGTCTGACACTCCCCATCGTCTCATCCAAAGCGGGAGGAATTATTGGATGAGTTTCCAACCTTAAAAAAGGCTTCCCCAATGAGTTCTAAGTAAGCTGGTCTACGATACACTACACTACACATTAATACATACCTACCTATAAAATAACACTGGTAAAGGCGCCGTGCTTAAATGCCAGAGCGCGTGTGCGTCCCAGACACCGTGTCTGGGCGGGAAGTCAAACAGTTCCAGACTGAGCGCCGCGCCAGACAGCAACGTGAACGCCATCATACGCCACGCGTACCGCCGCCGTAACGTCCACTGGTGCCAGGACAGTACCAGCCAGATCACTGACCCAAGTGCTCCTGGATAACGGAATTGGATGATTAAATGGATAAAATAACATGTTACTTTCTCAAGTGCACATAATATGGAACAGATTTTTTTTTAATTCCATACTTACAAACCAGCAACGCACACATACCTACCCAGTACCGTCTCTACCTTCATCCTCAGGGGGTCCCAAAGGACCGTAGTTTCTTTCTACGACGGACCAGCTGCCGCGTAACTTGTAGCGGGTTCGATTCCCGCACGGAGCAAATCATTGTGTGCTTCACAAATAGGTGTTTCGGATCTGGGTGTCATGTGTAAGCGAACTTGTTTGTAAATACACCCCAAATTATTGTGTGCCGAAGGGCCCCAGCGTAGTCTAAGACGGCCCTGTACCTGCCCTTTATGAAAATTTAAGAGAAATTCAGCAATTTACAAAGAATTACAAAACTTCTATTTTCTTTGGCCAACTTACCTACTTGACTTAAAGTACCTAGGTGACAATTACAACATTTTTGCATGTCAAGATACTTTATAGTGAACGACGTTAAAGAGACAAACTTACCGAAGAAAACATTGACTTTCATATTGTAGTCGTAGTTTATAAATCCGGAGTACAAGTACCGCACGTGCATCACGAAGTAGAACACCGGCAGCGACAGCGCCACCAGCATCATTACTTTATTCCGCATGTAGAACACCCTGTAGACATGCGGAGTTACAATAACTTGCCTAGGCAAGAAGAACATAGGCTAATCTGACAGGAGTCTGGATCATCATATCTCTGTATGCAAGAGCACCGTGAAGTGAGCCTCATTCTACTAAACTTTGGTGTCACATTGGTGGGTGGAAAGAGGTTTGCTCTATGTTCGAGTATTTGTATCTAAATTAGTATCTCGTTACTTACCACTTCCAACTACCATTTCATAGCAACTGTTTAAAATCGCGATGTACCTATTCCTAAACTTTTACTTGACTTATTCCAAATCACTTAACAAATTCTCCTAACAACTAAACATACCCCATACTCACCCCATCCATCTTTTAACAATTTAAAAGTACCGGGAAGGGCAAAGTATTACTGGGTTTTAAAAAATTCTCAGTAGTAGTACGGAGTCTGGAATTGTGCCTGGTATATGGCAATAGGCTCACACCCTATTACGTGGGACTCGTAACATAAATAGTGAAAAGTGGGTGTTACATTGTACAGCGGCATAATGTGCACCTCTGCCTACTCCTTCGGGGATAAAAGGCGTGATGTTATGTTTTGTTAAAAGTACTTACCGCACTATCGCAGCGACTAACAGCCCCATGACCATAGAGAGCGCACACGCATAGTCCATGAACTCCGTAAAATCCGTGTCTCTCATGTGGAATATTGTAGACCATACCCATGCATTCATACACACCTGTGAGATAAAAAATAGACTAAATCTAGATGATATACTGACTCGCGCCTTAGACCCGGCACTCACTGCCGGCATACCACGCGGCGGCATACCGTGGCATTCTACTGAAAGCCCAGCCACTCTGTCATGATTGCAGTAAAAGTAACAACCTTATTTTAATTAGCTTAGCAATCATAATTCGTCGACACAAAGGGATCCATACGTCATCAACACCAGGAACCCTACATCAAGATCAATTTTAAACTCAATGCTAGAACTGAGAATATTGACAATCAAAAAACTCTGTCTCTCTTGATAATCAAACATTCTTATGCTTTGCCCATAAAATAAAAATTACATTTAAAAAATGTTTTACCATTGCAAACATCTTCCAGAATATAACAAAAGGTTTGAGATTAGCTTTTGAGATGCGCAATTGCTGTAATTGCTTGAACATATATGCATTGGCTGCTAAGTTCAGTATGGATGCAAAGGCTGATGCTGGTTCTTGCATCCCAAACATCCTTATGAATGGCCACTGAAAAAAAATTATAATTAATTTGACTTAATATTTATATAGATTCTTATATAATTTCTCTTTTAACAAAAAAATACTATTTTTAAATTAACAGTTATTTCTCCTTTAAATATCTCTTCTTAGCAAGGAGCTAAGAAAGTATTAGAATTGTAAATATATAATAAAGTTATAATTGTCTACCTTGCCATGAAACTTGGGAGTATCATCTCCATTTTTATGGAAGACATCCACAGTGACCCACATACACTGGTAGCGACACTCATCCCTACAGGACCATTGTAACACCCTACTCCAATAGTCCTGCTTATATTGAGTATTGCTTTTAAATAAAACACCATCTGTAAATTATTTTAATGTCTACATTAACTCGTCGAGTACCGGTTTTATAGACACAATTAAAGAACAATAGGTCGCAGTCACCGGTGACCGCTTGGTGTTTGACAGTTTAATTGAAAAATAAATAGATTGTTTATTTATTTATTTATTTATTTATTAAAACTTTATTGCACATATAGTGAAATTGGCGGACTTAATGCCGTAGGCATTTTCTGACAGTCGACCATTGGGTGGTGCAGAATGTTAAAGCGGTAGGTGCAAAATTGTAAAAAGAAAGTATGAAGTAGATAACGAAGTTAAGGTAATAAAATATTAAAGAGGGAAGACATGAGTGTTATAGTCGATAATACATAACTAAGGGTATAGGGTAAAATGAATTATATAATAAATATAATACATCCCAAATATGCATACATATAATACAATACATACATATATAAATAAATGCAATACATAGACTACATATTACCACTGTTTTGAGTTTGCCACTTTCTATAAATGTGTTCCCGAACCTTGAATTTAAATGAACACCGATTATTTGCCATTCTGATTTCCTTGGGCAGCGCGTTCCACAGAGAGACAGATTGAACGAAAAAGGAGGAGTGAAGATAGTCAGTGCGGTGAGTGGGACATTGAAGTTGACGGTTATTAGATGAGCGAAGGTATTTAGAATGGTTTGCGCATGTATATTGGAAGTAGGAAGCTAGATAAACAGGTGAAGAAGGAGAGTCGAGAAAAGAAAATAAAGTAGTTAACGCCCTTTGTTGCCTGCGCAGGCGTATGAGCAGCCATTTTAATTGCAACCGATGTGCAGAAACATGATCATATTTACGTAAATTGAAAACGAATCGAATGCAGTTATTTAGAAGACGGTCAATTTTGTTGAGTAGATCTGCATTCAGGTCGTAGTAACACACATCAGCATAATCGATGATAGGAAAAATCAGGGCCTGCACGAGCCGTGCCTTGGTAGTAGACGGAAGGAAGTTTCTAAGGCGGTACAAGCCTCGCAACGACCCAGTTACCTTCTGGCATACACTAGCGACCTGTGCTCGCCAGCTCAATGTGTTATCAATATGTAAGCCAAGATCCTTCACATCGTCACTAAACGGGATTGCCACATTATTGTACGAGACAGGCTGCAGCGACGCGACACTGACTGTTTTCCAGGTACGTGTGCTTCCAATGATTATGGCTTGACATTTATTTGGATTTACTTCTATGCCGAACCTTTGTGACCAGTTGTAGATAGCAGCCAAATCCCCATTTACTGCCGTGATAGCACTAGGTAAGTCATCCACTGCAGCCTGACAGTACAACTGCAAGTCGTCCGCATACAGATGATACGCACACCGAAGTTCAGAAGTAATGAAATTAATAAAGATTGAAAATAAGAGAGGAGAGAGAATGCCGCCTTGAGGGACACCAGCCGGCAGATCACACCAACTTGAAGAATTATCGTCAAGCCGGATCGACTGCTGACGCCCCCGAAGATAGGAAGAGAACCAGTCCAGTGTTTTGTCAGAGATTGCAAGATGGGACAGGATGGCCAAAAGGAGATCGTGACTGACCATATTGAAAGCGTTTGAAAAGTCAACCAATACTAAAACAGTTACTTTGGTGTCCTCAATCCCTGCCCTAATATCGCCAGTCACTTTAAGGAGGGAGGAGACAGTGCTGTGTCCAGGTCGAAAACCTGATTGGAGAGGGCTTATTAAACTGTTTCCATAAACAAACCGTGACAGCTGCTTATGGACACAAGCTTCAAGCACCTTAGACAGGAAGGGAAGGATTGAGATTGGACGGAAGTGAGTGGGAAGAGATGGATTACTAACCTTAGGTTTATTGTATACATGTTTCATCAGATTAAATAGGATTGTAAATATTTTCAGTATCTAGTGTAATTGTAGATTATGTAGCTAATAATTTTTGAATATATAAAGTGGAGTTTATAATTTAAAATTAATAAAACATAGATCTAGCCACAAGATACCCACTGCTAACAACAAACATCCTAGAATAAGTTCTAGATTTGCCGGACGTAATTAACTTACATCCAGTAGCTTTCTGTAGTTAGCCACAATAATATTTATAACCTACCTTCCATCATTAGGTCTAAACTATGAATTCTTAAATTATCTACATGTTTAATAAAGATTGTTTAATACAAAATAACAATACTTACTGTCAGTACAGTTTTCTCTTTCGAATCGATTCAAGCAATTCCTGTATACCATCGACCTGTCTCCTATACTACAGGTTACGAGGGATGAATGTTCGCACAAAAATAGGGCGATAGCTAAACTAATTAATAGTTTCATTTTGAACTTGGCTCTGTTGTTTACTTCTGTCCACTTTAAGACTTTTAAATTAAATGGACTAAGGCATTAAAATGAAGTAAGCCAAGTTGATCTCATCGAATTTTTGGGCTTTAAATTAAGTATTGTAACCTACAACAAATAAAACATGTTCGATTTATTGACAATCTCATAAAAAAATTATTGATTTTTAGAATTTTAACCCAAAGAAATGTTTACAAAATTCTGTCAAAGTCAAATTTGCAAATTGGTAAATATCCAACGTTCCATTTCTGGCAAACCACTACGATTGAAAACTAGTATGTAATTTATTTTATTAATGATCTTTGTGTAATTGTAATGGATAAACTTGTTTCAATTATAGTTAATTTTATTTAGTTTTCGACTACTTATGGTTAAAATGTTATTTTTAGTAAGTCATGTCATGAGCTTCATGTGCATCTTTTGATGTCTGAACAAAATCTATGATTATTAGTATTACATCCTCAGGAGTAACAATAGTGAAACGGAATTCATATGTCATTATTTACGAAGTGAAAACAGACACACATAACCTTAAATTGCTTTTAATCTTACTAAAAATAATATTCTTTTTGAAGGATGGTGTTCATTTTTCGAACTTTATTCGCTGCAAGAGAGTTAAAGAAACCAAGAGGCTATCTTCGAAGTAAATTCTTAGATTCCGTCAGACTTCATGTTAAAGGTGGCACAGGTGGAACTGGTCTTCCGAAGTTTGGAGGCCTAGGAGGGCAGGGAGGTTGTGTTTACTGCATCGGAAAAGAAGATGCAAACCTCAAAACCGTCATGACCAAACATCGTGGCAAGACAGTTAGTGCAGGACATGGAGAGGATAGTCGTAAAACAAAAATAGTTGGTAATCCAGGCTCCGACGTAAAACTTGAAGTTCCTCTTGGCGTAACTGTATATAGAGAAGATGGAAAAGTTTTAGGATCAATTGATAAAGAGGGTGAGACAGTAATATTAGCGAGAGGAGGGCCAGGAGGAACACCTGAATCAAATTTCCTGGGGCATCATGGACAACTGCATCACATACGTTTAGACTTAAAATTAATTGCTGATATTGGACTCGTAGGATTCCCCAATGCTGGCAAGAGCTCATTATTAAAAGCCATATCAAAAGCTCAGCCTAAAATTGCAAACTATCCTTTCACAACAATAAAACCTAACAAAGGAATCATTTTTTATAAAGACCTCAGGCAGATTTCTATAGCAGACTTACCTGGACTCATAGAAGGTGCCCATATTAATGTTGGATTGGGACATAGTTTTTTGAAACATGTGGAAAGAACAAAGATTCTGCTGTTTATAGCTGATGCACAAGGGTTCCAGCTCAGCCCTAAATATCCCAAAAGGTCATGTCTAGAGACTGTGTTGTTGCTGAATAAGGAGTTGGAACTTTATAATAGTGAATTACTACAAAAACCTGCCATACTGGCTGTTAACAAGATGGACTTACCTGGAACTGATGAGGTACTGACTGGTATAAAAGATGCCTACAAGGATATAAACTCAGTCCTTGATACACTGCCAGAAGATGTGAGGCCAAAAAATGTAATACCTTTTGAAGACATTATTGGTATATCTGCACTGAGAAGAGGACCAGGAATACAGGAGTTGAAGGAGCTGTTAAGAAGGAGATTAGATGAGCTGGCTGAGGAGACTGATCCAAACATAGTACATCCTAACAAAGTACTCAGACAGTCAAGAGCTATTGTTAAAGAAAGAGGAGCTAAAGTCACCTAGTTGAAATGTAAATAAAACTACACTGTGATAAAACTTGTCTCACTTTATTGTAAACAACCTTAAATAAATATGTAGCTTACATAAGTAAGAAATTGCATAGTTGCAAACTTAAATAATAAAACCCAAATGGTATTTGATATTTTTATTAAACATTATTATAAGCTCCATAGTCTCTGCCTTACAACTACAATCACTTAAGTATTACTCAGCTAGCATACCAATTCACCTTAGTCTAAAATCTTTAAACCAATAGGTTCAAACCATTATCACAGTGAATCTTGTGTTACTGGGACTGCCAAAACAGGGGTATCAAGTTAGGGATACAAATGTTACATAAACAATCATCAACCTGTGGTCATCCAATGCTACACATGAAACATGTTTGTTCAAAATAGCAAGTTTCTTTAGGTCTACATAAAATGTCTCTAGGTAACCAGTAACCAGACTGTATCAAATTGATGATAGCAAATAAGAAGCCCTTACACAAATTTTGAATGTTTTCCCTCCATCCCTCTTTTGATAGACAACCAGTAACCAGTTACGACATCCGAATACCGAACCGATTTATAGTAATTAATACAATTATGTGTAATCAGCTTATGTGGTAAAATGTCCGATTCAAGTATCTGATACAAGAACTGAAGAAACTGCTTAATATGGAAATGTCGACACTTATTCTTAAAACGCTAGTTACACATAATTGCACTAATATCAGCAACACCCTATAATAGAAAAATTCAATTAATAAGTTTCAAACTATAATATTTCACAAATAAAATCCAAATGTTTTCAAATAGTAAAAAAACCCTACAATATTTTTTATTAAGAGTAATACAATGATGGTTATCAAGGTAACTCGGGAGTTACCTTCAACACTACAATCTGTCGGCAACTCTGCACAGATCAATTAAAATATGGAGTAAAAATTGTTATTAATGTCACAAGTAATATTTAACGAATCATGCTAATCGAGATACAAGATATTTGTTTCATCCCCACTAGTAGTAAATAATCGATAAAACTTAATCGAAATTCTAAAAATCATCGCGAAATCGCGCTGAAAGTTACACCATATTTGTGACCAAAGCAAACAAGATAAAGGCACAAACAAGGAAAGAGTAACATAACGCTTTATATAAATAAAATAACAGTCTGCGCTATAACTTAAGAAGCAAGCTAAACTAATTTGTTATTAACACTATAATATCTACTTTAATGCGTATACGCCACAAGGCACAAGAAGAAAAAGCTAATACTTTATTTGGCGTAAGATCTATGTGGTAAAGAGGGTCTCACTCTCTCTCAGGGAACCACCCTCAAAGAAGAAAAAGCAAAAATTAACACTGTAAGTACCTATTTTTATTTTATACCCTTAACATGTTTGCAGCACTAAAACAGTATTCAAATGTACCTCGACTGAAGGTCCTGACAGAAAACAGACTAGAAATATTATGCAAGCTTAAATACTAAATACTTAAATCTCTGTTGTTTTGCCAATATTACAATGTCAAAGCAAATAACAATCTATGACCCTAAACATAAAATTGCAACTTATACAAACAAATATTTACAGGTAACAATATTCCTATGGTTATATGCATGATAAAGAACTTTTCTTGATACCTTTATAGTCACATAGTGTGAGCTTACGATTACGTTATGAACCATCAAGGAAGTTAACAAGAACACGAGTTACACTTACTAAGTTTCTTAGATAATTAGAATCAACTAACTAAGTATTTTTATTGTTAGAAAAATCATCCACACTATGTTAAAAAAACCTACATACGTATGCAAAGTTTTTATAATAAAAATTCTCTACATCTACACATTAATTTCAAATCATCATCACTCTATTTGAAATCTGTTTCCGATATTTATAGACGGTTTAATTCAGTACAAAGTAAAATCATAGAAACATGTATCCAACCTAATTTGTTCAGTACAATAATTCGTTGAATAAATAATTTATTATCATTACATAGCATTGCTTGACAGCCGTCCAGAAAAACAACAATTAATCAATGGATACTTGGATACATTTACAATTTTAATACGGCGATGTTTAATATCTTGTATTAAAAACTTATGTTTCAGTACCATTGTGTGCCTTTAGACATGATATGCAACCCCGCTAACACTACATAGCCACCTTTATACATCAGCCCCTTATTACAAAGAAAACTGGAGTTGATCAACTGGATACGAGGACTCATGGTAACCAGCCTAAATTCTACATTCACCTAATCGATATGAAGAGAATTATTATCGATTTGATACAGACATAAACACGTATAGTAGTAACACACTGTTACGTGAACATAGGTAGACACAATCAAAGATGTAATGGTAAGTCTTTAAGTGAGTCGATTTCGTTCTGAGTGTTGCAAGTAGTAGAGTAGGTAGAACGGTACGGGGCTGGTGGCGCGCTCAATGATCATACCTCTCCTCGGCCTCGGTGGCGGTCTCTGCGGGCGGCAGGCCGCGGCGACAGGAGCGCTCCGACGAGCTGCTACTGGCGCGCGACGCGGCGGGGGACCCGGCCCCGCCGCCCGCGCCTGCCGCGCCGCCCACTGCCGCGCCGGCACCCGCGGGCCCCGCAGCCCCTGCAGGCCCGGCTGGGATACCGATACTTTAACACCACTTTACATGACACACTTTGAATGCGACATTACATTATCGTCTATATCATAACACGCCTTTGGTGTAGTAATGTGCATATTGGTTACGAACAAATTCATTTACAGACAACTTTTGAAAGTTGAAAATTGTCAACGATAGTTTACCCGAATCGGGAATCGAACCCTCAACGTTTAGTAGACGTGCTTACGACCGCTTGACTAACTAAGAGTCAGATTTGTAACAGATATTAAAGTGCATTATAATACTTCAGGTTCGATGTCGAAATCTCACGTATAGACAATCATAAGTCGCATTTATAGTATGAGTATGAAATAATAATGTTGGTATGTGTGTTACCGTTGCCGCCGGGGTTGAGTGCGTTGTCGTGCGCGGGGCGCTGCTTCTTGGCGGCCGGGTCGTCGCGCGCGTCCTCCACCTGCGCCGGGCACTCCAGGTGGACCAGGTGGAACACCTACACACAAACAATGACAGACTATCGAGACATACTAAATTAATCTGTCAAACACCAAGCGGTCACCGGTGACCGCGACCTATTGTTCTTTAATTGTGTCTAGAAATCGCCGCTGGGGCCACCGTCGTGGGTGCTCGATGTTGAGGTTGGAATGAAGCTGGAAACAAGGTTTAGCGCCAAGGAGATAGAAAAAACAATTGTTTCAATGTCGAAAGGAAAATCCCCCGGCCATGATGGCCTTAGCATTGAGCATCTACGATACGCGGGTCCGCATTTGCCTAGAGCATTGTCCATGTTTTTTGCATTGTGCATGAGTCACGCGTATTTGCCAGCCGAAATGTTGAGGACTCTAGTAGTACCTGTTCCGAAAAACAAGACTGGCGATATGGCCGATAAAAATAACTATAGACCTATATCATTGGCGACGATTGTTTCGAAGGTGTTTGATAGTTTGCTTAATACGCAATTAAATAAATGTATACAACCTCATGATAATCAATTCGGGTTTAGGCCCGGATTGTCTACAGATAGTGCTATCTTGTGTCTTAAGCAGACTGTCAGATATTATATGGATAGAAAAACGCCCGTGTATGCTGGATTTCTCGACCTCTCAAAAGCTTTTGATCTGGTTTCCTACGAAGTTTTGTGGAAGAAGCTCAGTAATACGAAATTGCCAAAAGAACTTATTAATATCATCAAGTACTGGTACAGGGGCCAGGTCAATTGCGTCAGATGGGCTGGAGTCAGGTCGGACGTGTACGGGCTGGAGTGCGGGGTGAGACAAGGTGGACTGACATCGCCCACCCTCTTCAGCCTGTATGTGAATGACTTATTAGAGGAGCTCAGCCGCACTAGGTTAGGTTGCTATATAGATGGTGTGGTTTGAACAATATTAGCTATGCCGATGATATGGTGTTGTTGAGTGCGTCACCCTGTGGTCTCAGCAAATTGTTAGGGATTTGCGAAAGGTATGCGCTGCAGCACGGGCTTGTGTACAATGCGAAAAAGAGTGAGGTTATGGTCTTTGGGACCGGCGGAGGCGGTGCATTTATCCAGATGCCTACTATTAAATTGAATGGTGTTCCTCTACAGAGAGTACAGCAATTTAAATATCTGGGGCACTGGCTGACTGCCGATCTCAAGGATGATACGGACATTGAACGGGAGCGAAGGGCGCTGTCTGTACGCGCTAACATGATTGCCCGCAGGTTTGCGCGCTGTACGACTGAAGTCAAAGTTGCTTTATTTCGTGCATATTGTACTTCGTTCTACACGTGCGGTCTGTGGGCTCATTTTACACAAAAAGCATACAGCGCCCTTCGAGTCCAATATAATAACGCTTTTAGGGTGCTGATGGGGTTGCCCCGTTTTTGTAGTGCCTCGGGAATGTTTGCAGAAGCCCGCGTAGATTGTTTTTATACAGTAATGCGTAAGAGATGCACATCCCTAGTGCGGAGGGTGAGGGGTAGCAACAACAGCATCCTGAAAATGATATCTGGCCGACTGGATTGCGCAATAGTAAATAGATGTTGTAGACTCTCCGCGGGACTTGCGCCGTAATTATAGTAGTATTGACATTTTAGTTAAATTAAATTAAATATTATAATTAATGGCATGATTTTGTGTTGTCCTGTCTGTCTCTATTTTTGTAAATTGTATATTACCTATTAAATCATATATATAATGTGTACTAACATTAGTTTTTAAGTTCAATGTTACTAACAAGAATATGGACATGGTCTGCAATAAATGATTATTATTATTATAAAACCGGTACTCGACGAGTTAATAGTTAATACTGCCTGCGCGTCAAGTTTCAAGCCACAGGGGCTCACACAAGGGGCTCTTATTCATAAGCATTTGGCTAATTATTTTTAATTAATAGGTAGTTTAGTATATAAGTCTCTATTACAGTGTTGCTACACAAAATGAACCTAAATGTAGAATTAAATTCTTTACCTCATTAACAGAGTTGTTTGTACCAACGATGCGGATGATGGACACTGGCCGTGGCTTGAAGTATATCACTTGCCATGATCTGTAAACAAACATAATTTGAATAGAAGCTGAACTTCTAGAGAACAGAGTAGACAGATAACGTAAGTACACATTGCATCTCAAACTGCGATAGATTTTCGATTTTATCTCAAAGCAATATGATTAATGATTAATTAACTCAATTTGACAGTATCAAATAGCTTGATATGCTAATCTATATATATAAAAGAAAGTCGTGTTAGTTACACTATTTATAACTCAAGAACGCCTCAATCGATTTAGATGAAAATTGGCAGGGAGGTAGCTTAGAACCAGGAGACGGACATAGGATACTTTTTATACAATACTTTTTTTTTTACTTTTTACCGAAAATCACGAACGGGAACGGGGGGAAATGGCATTGCGCGTACGAAGTCGCGGGCAAAAGCTAGTATCTTATCATTTTAAAACCTTATAATTACCTGCAAGACTCCCTAGTACGGTCACAGACCATCTCCCAATCCCAGTTGTTAAGCGAAGTCTCCACATAGTACGAGTAGTGACGGTAGTCGCAGTCCCACAGGAGCATTCGTATAGAGGAGAGCAGGTAGGGCTGCGCTAGTTGCACCACTATGGCGCCCGAGCCCAGCTGGTGACACGTGTAGCCTTGGTCCCAGTCGTAGTTCTCCGTGTCGCCGTTGATTAGGGCGTTGCGGGAACGACTGTGGAGGTAAGAGAGAGTTGTTAAGTTTTATAGTCATTTATTGGTACTTTAGGGAACAGTCAGTAGACTTGACAGTAAACTCTAAGATCGGAAAAGGAGGATCCCCCGACCAGGCGAGGTGATTGTGCAGATTGTGTAGGGATTTTCTATCGGTGTAAACTTCACATATGCGATGTATGATTTTGTGACGTCATCCGTTCATTTGTCTTCATCGATGTTCTATGTGCGTGAGCTGTCATTTTACATGTGTCATGTGTTGCCATAGTACCATCTAGATAATTTTAGTATAAATCACGATGACTCTGGAATGAGTTATATGGCTGAAAAGAAACAACTACAATTTTAGTACCTAGTTAAACCAAACGACTTTGTCTGGTGAAGATGGCAGAAACTGCGGTCTGTCACCTAAAAGATATTTCGTGATATAATCCATTCAATGGTGCCATTCTTTGTCCAATAGGGAATTAGCTAGTGTCACACCATTGGACGGTTAATATTTGACAGCTGCTGTGATTGGACAATAAACAGCTTTCTACTGGTGAGCAAAAAAACGTTAGCCCCCATTAAACGTATAAGGTGGTCCATCTCTAATATTATAGGTAGTATAAGAGTGGTGGAGTGACCTGATCCCCTCGATGACGACGGCGGAGAGGTCGACGGTGGCGACGTTGTGCAGCGGCTCCACCAGGCCGCCCCGCAGCGGGGGCACGCGCCACGTGTGCCGCGCCTCCAGCGCCACCGCGTGGAACACCTGCGCAACATACACTCTACAACCTGCTTGTGGCACACATAAATACACTCCATACTTCAATTAGGAGGCTGTCGTAATATAACACACGTAATCCCAAACTTCACCTTACCTAAGGGAGAGTCATGGTTTTGGCAAGAATAGGCTAGCTCGAACGGTGTGATATCATGAACTCTCTGGTACGGATCCATGGGCGGCAGTGTGTGGCTTACCATCATGTGATCAGTCTACTCAGTAAAAACCTACTATTGACAATTTTTAAACTGTAAATCTCAGTTGACCCAAACTATCAGTCTTATCAGAATATCAACTTTACTGTCAAAATAACTAAAGTCAATGAGTTGACAGTACCTTGTTAACAGTATTACTGGTGCCGACGAGCTTGATGTACTGTACGACGCGCGGCTCGAAGTACAGGTTCTGCCAGGAGCGGCAGAAGTAGTTGCTGTGGTCGATCACTCGCACCCAGTCCTTCTGGTCCACCGACACCTCGATGTAGTACGCGTATGATCTGTACAAGGAATAAATAGGTAAAATAGACTCTTTGCCATATACCATAGAGTCTATTTTACATTACCTTACTTACCATAATTATTCTCAATCTTCTCCATAGTTATCTACGTTTAGGAATGAGTAGAGTTACTAATAAATTGACCGACAGATAATTTTGTTAAGATGTTTCAAGAGTGTCTGTATACAGTTCGTTGAAATAAACGCTCGGATTTTTTTGAAGAGTTGCCATATTTTTATATAAGTTGTATATAATTGAGTTAGTATCCCATACCGGTTGTCCCTGTCCCAGAGCAGCAGGCGTATGTTGTTGATGATGGTGGAGGTGGCGAGGCGCACGATGATGCCGGGGTTGTCGGGCGCGTCGTTGATGGTGTGGCGCGTGTAGCCGCGCTCCATGTCGTACGTCTCGGTGTCGCCGTCCAACAACGCAGACCGCATGTCGCCTGAGATCACGCGAGCACCGCGTTTTGGTGTTGCCACGTTCTCCTCCGGTACTGGGTAATAAATAAATAAATAATTAGTACTTTAGAGCCAACATAGTTAAAAAGGGCTATTCAAGCCTTATGGAGGCAATTTAAAGTAGCCAAAACAAAAAGGTCCTAGTGAAAATGACAAGTTAAAAATTCATAATAGTCTGCATTTTAGTATTTTTAACCTTTTAAACAGTTGGCTAAATATCAATAGGCGTACCCCTAGCGCACGACTACAAATCGATAAAATTATACTTACAATAAAAAAAGGGGAGGGCAATAATAATTGTTGTATCGATAATCGATAACAAACAGTAACAATAGTACTATTTTTATCAGACTTATTATAGATTAGTAGCTACCTACCGAAATGCTTTTCGGCTAATATTTTTGCCGTTTTTTAAATTAGGTGAGTGCTATATTGTATGCCTACAATGGATATGTTTGTTACAGTTTGTGCTTCTCTGGATACAAATAAATCAGGCTTCTGTCTTTCTATCTGTTCTTCGTGATATCTGTATTTAGCAACCGTCATAGAAAGAAAAGAATATATACCTACTTTATTTCACACACTAAAAACAAGTGACAAATGACAGAAGTGTTGTGTTGATCATGTGGCACATAGCAACATTTTTGAGATTGTGCTACTGACGAACATAAACATATATCTCCTATATCTTCAAGATTCGTTTCGTTTTGAATATCATTAGTTGGATTTAAAATTGATTTACTACATTCCTGAGACTCGTCATATCCAAAATGGCTACAGGACACATCCTGTATAATCAAAGGTAGGTAGGTATGCTACAGGTATCACTTTGGCACAATTTACTTACTTATTGATGTCATTTTGTTTTCTATCTAATTTAAATTTAATACTGAACAAAGCTGTGAAGCTCTAGGTCTATTTAACTTAGATTATAACTGGGTTTCGCTAACACTTTCACTGTACGGGATAAATAGAGGTGGGGTCCGTGTGTCTGAGTTTGACACGTATCACATACTAAAAAGAACAACGTAATAAAAAAGGTCGACAAGATGATGACTACTTAACTATCGATATTTCGTCGATAGCTTCTATCTAAGGTATTCCGCACCACAAAGTGTAATGTCAACGCAAAGATAAACATTACACTTCACTAGATATTAATGTTTTTGAAATTGCCTGTTTCAATTTACACTGCTTATCAGTCAGTTATTAATTTAGTTTTAAGAATTTTATAAATAATTTTATATTTTTAGGTATCTAATAAACCAAGGAAGTTTTGTATTAGTTTGTATGCTTAGTGTAATATATATGTCCGCTATCGTGGCCCATACCTTGTCCCCCATCGCGTTCAAGGATTTACCTTCAATAGTTTCCTGTCGGCAGTAAATATTAATTAACTGGTAATATATTTAGGTATACTTACAGAGAAGGCCTCGGTGCCTTAGTTCAGTGCTCTTGGTCTGTGTCTTCTCCTGTATGGCGTCGAGCAACATATCAGGAGTGACCAACGAGAACGGCCGCACCACTGTCAGTAACTCCTCCAGCGTCATCAGTGTTAGGCGGACGCATTTCAATATTTTTTCCTGATAAAAAACATTATTAAATTAAGTTTACATTCAATTCCTCTTTGCAAAACCCAACACACGCGTCCCTTCTGTTTAACAGTCTTATAAAGTATATTGCATTGCATATAAGTTTATCACGGTGTTTTTTCCTGAGTGTAGGTACAGATACATAGTACAAATTTAAAATCATAGTTATTGAAACTATGACTTGCAAAAGTGTAAACGTAAGTATTCTGCAGATTTACTACTTACGATTTGCGCCTGCCCAGCTTCAGATTTGACCCAAAGCTGGTTAGCGTTGAACCAGTTGCAGACCGCCTTGAATATGTCGACTTCTGGCGCGAAGAATGAGTCGCGTTCTAAGAGGCCCTGTAGAGCCTCCTGTACAGGTGAACAAACGAATTTTATTAACAAACTCATGCATGCGATGACATTGGAAATTTGTTTTATGATCAACAGCCGGAATATGTACTGGTGAACAATGGTCTCTTGAAAGGGTTTGCCATACAAACGAGAGAAGAATTTTGTTGAGTGTGTACTTACAACAGACAGTTGCAAGAAAGTGTCATGCTGCAACACGTCGATAGCGTTCCTGTCTAAGAAGTTGTAGCAGTAGTCCATCAGAGCCTTCAGCCCATACAGTCTGAAACATCCATCATGATGACTTGATCAGTTGATTGCCAAACAAGGGGTCTTTCATTTGATACCCAGGTTTGATGACATTTTATTGAAATTAAGTTTTTTTTTTTAGTCAATAGGTCTGCAATTGTGCCCTATTACGTAACATTGGTGATTGGCAAAAAGATTTATCGAATATATATGACTCTGTAAATATCAGTATCTATCCTATGTTTATTTAACTTTCTTATAATACCTAGCAGCATCAAGCACGGAGCAGACATTCCTGAGAGCGAGCACCTGCCTCAGGTAGTCAGATATGGCGGTCTCCAACTCCTGGAAATTGAACTGATGTGCCAGGCCCAGCATGTCAAGCACTGTGTCTTCTCGCAGCATGGATAGACCCATATGACCTAAACATGGAGAACACATTGCAGTTGTAATGATTCGCTATTATAGCAACCTTGTCTATCCAAAACCATTGTCTACAATGTTTGTTACTATGAGAATGAGTACCTACCTGAGTACACATATCGCAAAAGGGCCTTGAAAGCTTGGAGGGGCGCTTGCAGTTCCACCTCCGCCTAAAACATATATGAACACATGAAAAGAATAATAAATCGATAAAGTGAAGGAAGTACGTTAAAGTCGTGGTATACAATCAGTATACCACTCTTTAGACTTCGTCAACGGGAATTAGGTTTCACAAGTTCACATTATGTAAGGACGTTACCTGATTGGTCTCCCTCATGCCGCCATACAGCAGCGCCCTGAAGTAGTCGCTGCTGGCGGCCAGGATGACCTTGTGGGCGGGGATCCGCTGCCCCTCTACTATAAGGGTCACATCGGAGTACTCAGACGACAGGCAAAGGGAGCCTATGTGTTCCGACAGGTGGCCTGCACAAATTGACATGAGATGTAAATCATGTTAGCCCTAACGATGAATACTGGTTAGTAGGATACAAAATTAACCATGAAACTAGAGACATCTCTCCCTATTACAAATGTAAGCTTCAATATGGATGGGACATAGTGATGATAACTAAAAAGAAATCAAATGTTGAAGGTAACTGTAGGATGTAATCAAGCAAGGCTTATTTATTGTTCTTTATTTTGAAAATCCAATAATAACTGGGCCGAAACTGCCACATTATCTGTTATTTAATTGTTTTATTGGATATAATTGTATTATTTTTAAACACGTGTAGACTTTCGGTCCCTCAGCCTAATTCTACACAAAAGATTGATAAACCGCAGGTCGTCGTGGTCAGGAAACATTGCGACACGCATCCGCTGTCGATATATTCAACATCTAGATTTTACTGTGCAACCAATTATTGCACTTCTGTGCCCCGTTGGAATTGCGTTATTAATGTCAAGCGACCTACTAGCAAAAATATTTCGAAAACAGGCTCCATTTTTTTTTAGGGGGAGAAAATCATCGAATTGTGAGGCGGGGGGAGTGTCAGACTCTTACTGACTAAAAACCACCCCGTTCCTTCTCCTGGACGTCGAGCCGGAGCCCCGGTAACCCGTTAGGTTCTCCGCGACTCCTAATCGGCCCTGTTGAGCCCCATCTGTGGTGGTCTGATGGCACTCTGAGGCGCGCGCGGAACGCGACGCGCCGTACGCTCATAACAGGCTCCATAAGGCTCCACATTGCACATAAATTCATAATTTTATAATGGGAACAGTATGTGGATGACAATATTCCTTTTTTAAATCGAATTTTCTCTAGTTACCAGTTACATAGTCATTTAGTTAGAATATTGTTGCGTTTGTGTGCGGAAGCCATTTGTGAATATAAAATGACACGCAACTGATACATTTTGCGTGTTCGAAAAATATATTTTGTAACTAAAAAATATTTATCAGTCAGAAAAGAATGCTGCGTGACATAAGGGAGAAGTTTTATATTGAACATTACTTATACATTTTGTATGGACCCTATTTACTTATACATTCTGTGTGCATCTGCTATTAAATATTTCTTCGAAATCTATAGTTGAATGTTAACCAAAATGTAATTTATAATAAGCTGGTGACACCCCTAAAATTTGCAACGCCTGAAAAAGGCCGTTAAGCTGTGCCTGTTATTTCATTAGACATTAGTATGTATTACCTTAACATGCAAATAAAGAGTTTGAGTTTATTAATCTTTTAATATGTTTATAATTTATAACTAACAAAATAATTTGGATTTGGTAAAGTTTTCTGGACAGAAAAGGTTTATTAATGTGCAGCATTGCTTGTTCGTACACAATTTTCATTGAAATTTGGGAATATACCTAGGCAGCCTTGTGGCATATAGTAAGATTTCCTCATAATTCCTAATACACAGGATTCTACAACATAACTATAAACTAAATACAGATAAGTATGTGGTAAGTGGATAAATTACTTTAAAAACCTAAAATAATTAAAATACTAAACAGTTCTGATGTCTGAGAAAACGAGTCTTTAACCAATCTAACATGGAATATGTAAGGACTTAAGTAGGGTGATATTGTAACATGCACTCTAAATAAACACGCATAAAGGTCATGATTTAATGTAAACTGCTACTTAAGATTATGTTAAAATTAATAAACAGTCTACCAATGAAACGGTAAGTGAACTAATATCTTACTAATGTGTTCAATGTCCCCGATGCGTGCACTTGGTGTGTTGTTCACGCTCATATACTGGTGCTGGCTACTCATTGTCCCCGGATCTCATCAAGCTCTGCAAATTCATAATGGAGTGAAACACACTATGTATAGGTAAAAAATTTGACAGCTAAACTAAGGTCAAAAAGCTTATTTAAGTACTATATCTATGAATTGGTCTATTTAATGCAAAATAAAAAGATATTATCTGTGCATATAATAATATTGTAGAAATGACAATTCTTTACATAAAACATATTTATATAATAATTAGGGGGGTGTTACTACATAGAACCGAAAATATTTTTTTGTTTGCCTTATGTTGTGCATGCAGCTTATTCTGTACAACAGTACAGAATGAGTTCGAATAAGCTTTTTACAAATGAATTTGTCTTCTTACAACTTAACATTTGCTGTATAATTAAAACTAAATTCAGATTTCGGCAGGTGAAGCCGCTGGCAAGTTAGTACTTAATATGATTATGATACACATTTCAATATTTATTTGTTAACTAGTTTCTTAGAAACCTTTGAATACAAACTTTACCATAGTATGATAGTGTCAGTAGGAAGTAGAGTAGACGCTGATGCATGCAACAGCAGTTTATTTGCACATACAGGGGATTCCCCTACAGAATAATATAACCAATAGAAATTGTAATCAGTGCAACAAGTTTTATCAAGAAATTATTCTTGGTTGACATGATTTTCTGTATAGCTCTCCTAGATACGTGTACACTAACACAACATACAAAGAATTATCTAGAAGTCATATTAATAAGTACATACTAAATTGTATATTGTAGCACACAATCCAACTGTTTTTCAAATTATTATTCGGAACAACTGATCTATAAAATGAGCTTACTACGTTCCTAACGTCTCAAAAATATTCTATAATACAACAAATTTATACAAAACACAATAAAAAAAACAACTATAGTCGTATTTTTAATTAGACGAAGTCGACTGACGTTTGCTGTGTTGTCAGTTTTTGATGAAATAAAAATAGTGTTGCGAAAAAGTGAATGATTGAAAAAGCAACTAAATGAATGAAATTGTCTCGATCGTCTAGTGAATTAATTGAAGTAGTTGAAACTACAGATGAGTAAAATATAAAAAAATTAGGTAGTTATGGATAATAAAAACAACGCTAATAACATCATTTGATTTTAATCATCATCAGATAAAAAATCATCGCTATCACTTTCGGTGACATTAATAATAAAGTTGTCTGACACATTGTCAATCATGTGGTCAAGGCCATACATTTTGTCTTCTTCTTTAATAACGTGAGACACGCAACTACTCCATTTTTCTGTGATGAGTTGAAGTCCTTCTTCAAACAGTTTTTTAACTTCTGGCATTTTAAAAGTTTTGTTATTTCTTGCCACATGTCCTTTGGCCTGCGCCCATACCAACTCAATAGGGTTAAGCTCACAGTGGTATGGGGGCAGACGTAAAACCGTAATTCCATGGTGTGCTGCCATCTCGTCCACAACAAACTTTTCAGAATGTTGGTGTTTGTGCTGTCGTACAATGTCTATAAGAGTAGCTTTGATCATTGTTGCTTCGAATGCGATATTTTTGCTTGTTAGCCACTCTTGTATTCTGGATTTAGTCCAAGACATTGTAGGCAGCGATTCCAGTTTCCTGGAGTGGTACGGGGCATTATCCATCACTACCACGGAATTTGGTTTGAGTTTTGGCAAGACCTCTCTGAACCACTTTTCGAAGGAATCGGCATTCATCTCTTGATGATAATCTTCTTTGTTTTTTGTGGCTTCAAATATTAATAGGCTGTCTTCTACGAACCCTTCTTCCCCGCCTATATGTCCGATAATTAAGCGTTTGCCCTTTCCTGAAGGTTGTTTTAAGCCAGTGGTCAAGCCATCGAGGAAGGCCTGGCGGGAGGTTAGCACTGTTTGGTCAATCCATACCTTCTTCGGGGCATGACCTTAAAAATAGAGAAAAATATCAATTAATTATTGAAAGTAGAGGGACCTTCTAAACACATGCCTGTAAATGTATGTACACGTTTATCTAAGTGGTTTGTCATGTTTGTTTGTAATTATTCCTAATTTATATTATTGTCACACAATCAGAATTTACAGTCTTATAAGAAACGCATGTAATCTGTGTTAAATACAGCGTCGGTAACGAATTGTAAGAACTTTTATCTGTGGCCACAAAACCTACAGAAAGTAAAATTTAAAATGAAGAAAACAAAATTGTAATTACCTTCGTTGATCCAGGTCTCATCTTGGTAAAAATATACCTTCCTTCTCTTCTATACTGTTTTATTTCTCGAAGGTATCGCTGGCGCCATAGAATAATATCCTGTCTGTCAATAAGAATGCTTTTTCTTGTCTTTGAAACGTATTTGAAATTCAAATGTTTCATAACATTTCTTAGTGTACTCCATGAAAAAGTCGGTAAATCTGGGTCTTCATTGACAACTTTAAGGATCTGTAAAGTAATAAAAATGTTTTTGAGTAAGGAAATCTATGCAATCTAATACTTTGGTTTTACAAAGAACATTATGGTGGACACAGAATATAATGCAGTAGACGGAATAAAGTTTATGTTACCTTTGCAATGGTGGGTGGCTCATTTGCATAAAAAAACTGATGAACTTTTCGCCTTATGGCAGTAAAAGTAAAATCATCTAATTTGTCTTTGAAATTGTATTTCGGTCCACGTTTCTCGGGTGATTTAAATTGTTCATTTTCTTTGTATTCTTTTAATACACTGTAAACCGAGGTCACACCAATTCCCAAAATGTCAGCTGTTTTCGAAACACATTCCTGTTTTTCGGGGGTTTCAAAAGGTAATAGAGAAGCAGCTTTCTCCTCAAATACGTGTTTATACACGTTCTGTACCATGAGCTTTTCGGTAACGCTTAACGAAACCCGTGGTCTCTTCCTTCTCGGAGACAAGCTTTGACTTGACGTGCTTGGTTGAGGATCCATATTGTTTAAAGGAAACAATGAACCACAATAACCGCAAACACAACGAAACAAAAAACTTAACAAAACAACGTGAGCGCAGAAATAACAAAGTACGTGCTTTCAGACCAGAGGTTAGAAGCCGAATAACAATCAAAATGGCGACCGACGCGCGCGACGTCGATCGGTGTTGTCAGTACTCGCCGCGCCGCGCTTTACAATAAACTATCAAATATTGATACAATTTTATTAGAAATAGAAATAATATTCATTTATGTTTTGGAATGATTAAAATTATGAACTATTCACATTCATTGTTCATTCATTTGATTGAACGAGAACTGTAGCCATCACTATTACTTTAAATATGGCCACATTATTTTACAATTTGACATTAGCCATTGTCAGTTGACTTCGTCTAATTAAAAATACGACTATATACATACGCATTAAAGATAATCCACGTATATCAATAAAGTTAATGTTTTCAGCTTAATATTAAATACACAAATTGATTATTTTTAAATGTATTTTGTTTTGTAAATAATTTTCTGAGGATTTTGTTGCGAAATGCTCAGAATAAAAATATTTTTGACAATAATGACAATATTATGACAGGAACAGGACAGGAATAGGAATAGAATTGTAATTTTTTTTTTTGTTTTGGAACTTAAGTATCTGAAACAATGTATTTTAGACCTCTGTGACAAGTGAATTTCTGACTTTTCAATAGGGCCAAGGTCATTGAAATGAAGGCGGATTTTTTTTAAGGGGGAAAATCATCGAATTACTGCTCCCGCCTGGGTGAGGCGGGAGAGAGTGTCAGACTCTTACTGACTAAAAACCACCCCGTTCCTTCTCCTACACGTCGAGCCGGCACTCAGCTACTACAGTTGCACGCAGAACCTATAGACAGATGTCCTTCGTGTCAATACACAAAGGACATCTGTCATTTTCTGAATCTGGTGATGAGTTAACTACACGTAAATTAGGCATGCACACATTAAAAACCACTGACATTTTGGTGCTTCAAACATTATGTCCGCCTTATTTTCAACGTCCTTGTAATTGACTTGGAATTTTCATTAGAACTTTAAATTTAAACATTTTAAAACATATTTATATTATAACTTCGTGAGATATAAGTACTATATTATCAATTATGATATTTTTGAACTCGACTAGTTTCAAGCTAAAGCCATACATTAAAACAATTCATTCTAGTCTGACGAGTAAGACACAGCTTTAACACATACAATACTAATAATAAAATTTTAAAAACACATAATTTAAAAAACCAAACATAAAGTAACACGTGGGATTTTTAAAATACAATGCCATTTATCGTGTTATTTTAAAAATATCGATTCAAATCACGAATATCCATGTTTCCAATAGAAATTATACCATGAGGGGGGGGGGGGGGGGGTTACATAAAAACAATACTGATGCGGGTTAAAAATTAATTACCCAATCTGTGATCAATAAATTACATTTATGTACTTAGTTCAAACTAGGTGTTCTTTAGATATAATTAATTTATTTAAAAAACCTAACCTAAACTATCACGCCTAATCTGAAAAAAAAATATGGATACATAATAGTATCTATGCATTTTCCGCTTCCGGTGAAAACCAATAATTTATTATTATTTAATTAGAATAATAATTATAAATTAACAACATTGACAACGATAGACCATTACATATTTTTTAAATATTAAATAAAATGTATCTTACACAACATCACATCTATATGGCATAATTTCTATAATAATCATTGGAAAATGTACTCTATTTCGTCCTACACAAGTTTCGTTGACTTGTTGTTTATGACATTAAATGAAACATATACGTACATGCTTATTTATGATGGCGTAGTAACCAAACAATGTCAAAGATAAACTAAAAATAACATGCACCTAATTTAAGAAAGAGTAAATGCGATATTTAGTTACTAAAAATATACTTTAAAACTTAGAATGTTCTTCACATTTTCATGAAACCATTATATATCTTTGCATACATAACTGTATAAATATAAACTTATCTGTTGACTTTTTTTAGCTGAATAATAATCGGGCGCGAAAGCTTCGTCACGAAAATCACGGGACGTGATTGGCGGAGAATTTAGTTAGTACCAACGTAACGAACGTCTTGAACATTTTGGCAATGTTGTCAGATTTATTACCAGTTGTGCTAGGCAGGTAAATATCGTCGCTTTATTAAAGATATTTTATTTTTCTTTAATGGTTTTCAATGCGATAACGATGTTGTAATGGTTGAAAAGATACACGAAGAACTCGTCTCTGTGCTGAAACACCGGAATGTAAGTATTAAGTTTCTATTACAGTGTTTCGTGAACTTTTTGTAGAAGGTTGTGGTTCTGTAAAAGTAGCTGCACAATTGATACTGATAGAGTGCGATATTCGCAAAAGAAAAATATATGTAACGCATTTGATATTAATTTAATAAGTAATAATTTGTATGATACTTTTTTCGTGTTATTTTTTTATTCAGCCTAGAAACTTTATCAATTCTCAAACATCAATGTACGCGACTGGTGCGTCTGTACGATATTTCATTTCGCGATATTTTATTTTTAAATGCATTACAGGTCATCATTAATGGATTGTAAAAGATAACTGAGTCTCTGTAATGAACTCGCTCACATTCTCAGCATTGAGAAATGGAGAGACAGCAATGTAATCCACTTCAAAACTTTGACGAACCTAAAACGGAAATTTTAAAAAAGAGATTATTAAAATCAGCGAACACGTCACTGAGCACTAATTTACCACAAAACAGTCCGCAGCAGAATGTACTACTAAATACATTACGCGTGAGTTCCGAAAAAGTTCAAAATTTTTTATCAATGTTTTGTTACAATTTTATTAACAAATAAATATTTTATCTTTCAGGCGCCAATATCGAGCAGCATGATTGTGTCTTCGATGCAGGCCTCACAGAGCTCCTTACCTATAACACACAATTTAGTTACTCATTCGATTGCTCCTGTCAAGTTACATCCAAATAATTCTCCATATCCTTTGCAGCTGTCTACTGTGCATGTGCCAGTACAGATTCCAGGATCTACTTCCAATATTAATGTCCCTGTTCAAATATCAGGACCTACAAACACAGTCCCATTACAAATTGCACCTGTTAGTCTGCCTCTTCAAGTCTCGGGAACCACCAGTGTCCCAGTTCAGTTACCAGCTGGTGAGACCATAAATGTTCCGCTGCAGATTCCGACTGCCAATCCAAATATTCAACTACCTACATTACCTTCTATGCCAGTTCTGCAAAACCATAACCAATCCCTCCACAGTTCAATCATTCAAGTTCACATGGGGTCAACAAACCCAAGGTCAACCAATATGGACTCTGAGATGACAGTGCCAAGTTCATCTCACCTACAGATTTCAGAAACAACAATTTCACAAGTAAAGGTCAACAATCCTCTTCCACAACAAGTGCAAGTGGCACATAACAATGCCATGCTGCAGATGCAAAATGCTGCAAATTCTATTCAAATTAGAGGAGCACCGAGGCAGGTGCCACATGTACCGCATGTGGTCTACATACAAACTCCAACTGGACTGAAGCCTGTTTCCAGTACTGATGTCATCACACAAGCAAGTACAAGTGGAAACCCACCACAAATCATAGTAAGGAGACCAGTAAGTGAATCATCACCATTAACAGGCATTCATGTAACAATTGGAGCAATTACAACTTTCAATAAATTTTTAGTAACTTAGAAAATGGTAGCAAAAGTTATGAAGTATTTGTGTGAAAAACCTGTTTATTGTGATTATTAATTGGCTTATAAATTATATAGTTATCAATCAATTTAATGTACTAATTCGTGTTTAAAGATAAACCTTGCAAAATGTTAAATTACAAAATTCTCAATGAATGCACTTTCACTCACACTACTACAAACATAATGGTGGTGGTTTAGTCATAAATTTATGTATTTTAGTTTTCTTGTTTTGGCTTCAAATTACTTTTTAAATTATTTGTTTCATTCCAAAATTCAACTAGATTTGCTTAGTACTGCTCAAGGAAAAAGTAAAATGTCTCAACTCAGAGAAAAACAACATTATGCCTAATTATTATTCCCCTTAAGGTTAAACACGGCTCAGAGTTTGAGTCAACACTTTACATAATATTATAAATTTATAATTTATTAAAATACCATATTAAGCAGATACTTGAAAATAAGTAGGTCTATAACCCTACATAAATTTTATGGTTGAATTTTGGGACATCTTGCATTATATTTGTAAATTATTTGCAAGTGTATAAATTTCTTAATGTAAAGTTATAAGTAAATTGTATTAGTACTAGTCTGTATAGTGATTAAAACACTGTTGCCAATACAATTCAATAATATAATTATTCTTGTACCTAACTTTTGTTTGTGGAAAAGTTTCATTCTTTTGATAAGCTAAAAATTTTGATCATTGTGTAAAATATTAAACATAACTTAATATTTTTAAATTGAAACAATTATAATTATGAATCATTATTAATTGGTATAATGCTTTATGGTTTAGACTAGTTTTGCAAACTTTTGATTTATGCTTTTCATTGTGTACCAGAGGTGTAATTATTACAAAAGTTATTTTCGTTACAGGTAACCACAAATTCAAATTTACATTTGATATCAAATGTAAACACCAAACCTAACATAGCTCCAAAAGTGAATGCACAGAACAAGTCTTCCATCTTGGCTCCAGTCAATGCTAGTCAGCCAATAGTGATACAGAAACCAAAGTCTAATAATGACAAGATGATGGTGCCAGTCAGCATTGCACCCAGCAACCCTAGCAAACAAGCGATAGCTTATCTCTCAGGATCTATGAAAAAACCGAACCAGAAGAACTTACCAGAGAATCAATCTATCCTCATATCCAACAATCAGTCTAATGTAAACACCAACAATCAGAAATTGTTCATAACTCCAATGAACATGCCTAAAATTCAAAACACTAAGTTCATTTTGCCTGTAACATTGCCTGCAACAATGGCTTCCAAAGGACCCATTATTAATTTGCAAATAGCTAATGGGCAAATACAAAATGATCCACAAGGAAATATTACAGTAATGAGAGACACTGCTTTGGATTCCCAAGACATGCCACCTTTGCAACCACTTGGAAAAGTTATTATGAATGGCAAAGATGTGCCACAAAGCCCAAAAAATGATAAAGCTTTTACATTGTCAATACCTGGGTCAAGAGCAGAACCAACAGGTGAACAGGGAGAATATACACTGTCAATACCTGAGACAAATTCTGCCATGAATGACGACATTTATACTGTGTCTATAGCAGACGACGATGGCGGCCATAGAGAGAAATCATTTACTCTAGCTATACCAGAGAAAGGCAAGAGTTTGTTAAATAGAAACATGGTTGAACGACATGAAGTAGGGACAGTTAGTATAGCTGCACCTGCGATTTTACGACGATCAAACTCTGACAACAGCGATAGAAAGACAGCGAATGCAAGTATGAAGCGCCGCATATCCTTATGTGCAGAAAACTTATCTAACAGGAATAGAATGCCATTGCCACTGCCATTACCCAAAATCGAAAAAATTGAGGATCCAGCAGAGCTGAAAATAATGATGATCATCGTGTACCCTCCCTGTTCTGTGATGAAAAATTGGACAAAGATCTAGAGGCTAAACATTTGGATTCAGATTCTGAAGATTATAAAGAAACTAAGCCTGATAATCTCAAAGAGTCAAATACCCATGAAACATACTACCCTAAAATTGAGGATTTCAGTAAAAATGATACCAAAGAAGGCATTTTAGAAGAGGATCCCCCAGGTCTTATATGGAATAATGGAGTTGCTAGATTACAAGGCAGCACCCTTCAATTTCAGACCAATGAGTTTGGGCTCATAGACTTGCTAGATGGCAGTGATCGGGAAGAAGTGGGTAACCATTCAAAATACCAAACCCCGGCAAAGCCACGAAACAAAAAACCCCTCTCTCCTGAAGATTTGTTCCGCTGTGAATGTTGCGGCTGTCATGGCATGGCGGCAGAGTTTATTACCCCCACGTTCTGCAGTGCTGCCTGCCAGACTGAAGTAGAGAAAGCCTTACAAAAGAAAAAGGATAGGGAACGTATTGACTTGGTAAAAAAAAAGAATAAAATTAAGAAGTTGCTGATGAGGAAGCAACTGTCAGAATCTGATATTCCTTCAGAAGCTAAAGAAGACAAAATATTGCTAAAGCATTATGATTCAATGCCAGCTGACCAGTTATCAGAGGCTGCATTACTGAAAATCAGCGAGGATTTAGTGGAGAACGAGAAGTACCCCTGGATGTGTGGAAAGAATGGCTTCTCATGGATGCGATACCTCGATATTTGTAAAGCAAAAGCTGCTCCTGTTAAACTCTTCAAGAACCCATTCCCATATACTAGAAACGGATTTAAAGTTGGAATGCGACTGGAAGCGATAGATCCACAGCACCCTTCACTGTTCTGTGTCGTTTCTGTTGCTGAAGTACAAGGATACAGGATACGACTTCACTTCGACGACTTCCCAGATGTCTATGACTATTGGGTGAATGCAGACTCTGTGGATATATTCCCCCCGGGCTGGTGTGAAAAGAATGGGCGGTCGTTGAAGCCGCCGGGTAAAATGTCTTCGTCTAGTTTCACGTGGCCGCTGTATTTGAAACAGTTGAGAGCAGTCGCCGCACCTAGGAACTTGTTTCCACATATAACAGCTGCGGTAAGTTACTTTTATTTTGGTTACATAATTTGGTTTATAATTATCAAACCCCTAAAAGACAGTAAACATCAAAATTATTGATTCTGCTTTATTTGGTAATACTTTTTGGTTCTTAATTAGTCATTTTATCGTAATCCACTTTTTGCTTGAAAATACACTACTAAAGTTTAAAAAATAATGACATTTACAAGACTCTTTATAATTTTCAATTTATATTGTTAGGTGTTCAAACCACACTGTTTCCGTGTGGGTATGAAGTTGGAGGCTGAAGATCGCAAGAATGACCTAGTATGCGTGGCGTCCATTGCTGACGTCTTGGACAATAGGATGCTGATCAACTTTGACTCTTGGGATGAAATGTACGACTTCTGGGTGGACCCGACCTCACCCTACATACATCCTGTAGGATGGGCTGAAGAAAACGGAATCCCTTTGACGCCGCCCAATTGTAAGTACATTTTAATTCACTTTTTATTAGTATTCATGTTTATGTTAGCTTAACTGACACATTTCTAATAGAAGATACTTTAAATTCAGAGAGGAGCAGTTAGACAGGACCTTTGAGTTATAATGTGATCTTATTGGTTTAGTGGTCGCGCGACTACCATATGTTTATGAATAGGTCGAACAAAGTACTATAATGGGTACTGAGAGTTTTCTAAATAAACCAGTAATAACACAAAATTACTGTTACTATTGTACTTAAAACTCCTGTCCCTAATGCAGAAAAGTGTAACATATATTCCTGAAGGAAATTTTAAAAGTACCTAATTAAATTACTACATTCAATTATCCCAGATTGTGCCATATTTAGACCATGGCAGAATCTGTGACAATCTCATGTTGCATTTGGATTCTTAATAAAAATAATAACTCATGAATAACTACTAGTTACTGTTTTACAGAAAGTTTATTGTAAGCAAAAAATAAATGTGCCACATTTCTTTGATTTATGCTTACACCTAGAAAATTGCAGCTTTAACAAGTTTCATTTGTGCTTGTTACAATACAGGAACACATAATTAAATAAGATTAAAAAATAATCAAATCAATTCAACATTTTTCAAATATTTTTCATATCTTCTTCTATCTTGATTTATCTTGATATAGAAAGGTAAAAAAAGATAGCCATATTTATTTTACACTTCGTAAATTAATTCCGCCATAATTCTTAATAGTTTAATTAAAAATTCAAACATAGAGTCGTGAGCAACAAGGATAACCGGTAGTTTGGTTACGTCGTTATCTGCTCGAAACTACACGAGTTAGTCATGTCGAGCCGTTTGTGTGTGACTGTCGTGCCTATTGTTGTCTTATGAATATAAGTTAGATCGCGGACATTACTTATATGTCCCATTACGTACATACAAATGTCAAATATATCTTTATGTAGCACTCTAAAAACAAGTAAGTTTATCGTTTAAACAATCTTTTATTCGATTATAATTATATTTATTACTTATTTAGTGGCAATAAAACTAATATCACGGATTTATATGATATAGTTTTTCTGAATACATAATTCTGGAATAAATAAATGACATTTATTCGCTACTATAGACAATAGCGTATTTCATTAGCAGAAACAAGTTTTTCTCTTTGTTTTTGTTATTTTATACATAACATCAATTCTATAGTATTATGTTTCACCAAGACCGTCATTACAATATGTCCCCACTTAGCAGTCAATTGATATTACATTGAATGCCACATTCTCTCATTGAAATGCGTAGCTCTTATCAAAGCCACATATTTACTCGTCGGCCGTCGCTCAACATCTAGGTGTAAAATTAGGTAGCCCAAATTCCACTGATAAAATGTTATTGACAACTTTATTTTATCCATGTTACTTATCTATGTTTTCTATTTATTAAACTATTCTATGTATAAATAGGTTGTTGCAGTTTATTATCTTTTATTTATAAGTAGTTATTATTTATGTTTTTATTGTTGTGCCTCTGTCTATTCGAATTATTCTAGACGGGTGGGTATCTGTTGGTCTGATAAGGTTGTAGATAAAATATGTTCATTGAGGGCTTATTGCCCTTAGCACTTTTATACCTGCATACCATTTAATTCAGACAATAATTTGGTTTATTTTGTATCACCCACATTTTATAGTCCATGTATTCTACTACATAATTTTCCTGCTTTAAGGGACAGTCTGTGATTACTATGTCGTTGTCAACACATGTTTATCTGATGATTCATAACTTCACGACACCATTGGTAGTCAATGACACGATGCCATCGTCATCATTAGCCTGTTTCTGTTCATTACTGGACATAGGGCTCTTTAAAGATACACATAAATTAAAATGGCTTACACCTTTGGCTAACATTAAAAAAACCCACAGTTTACAAAGATCCTGACACATTTTCGTGGGAGAACTATTTGGCGGAGACGGGAGCATCCCCGGCACCATCACGCGCCTTCAAGCCTCGGCCGCCCCAGGGATTCAAGCCTGGCATGAAGTTGGAGGTGGTGGACAAAAGGGTAAGAGGATTGTCACCAACTGTTTGTGATAGGTAGTTCAAGCGAATACTCATGCAGTGCTTAAACCTAAACTATAACATAAAAGTTTGGATGGTTGTCCAAATTCAATAGGTCATAATATATAAAATATTAAAATCTTATAATTTGATGACAGGTGCCTTTCCTCATCCGAGTGGCTACGATCATGCTGTAAAGGGCCACCAAGTGCAAGTATCTTTCGATGGATGGCCAGAAGAGTTGGCGTGCTGGTTCGATGACGATTCCCCAGACCTGCATCCAGTTGGTTGGTGTCTCAAAACAGGACATCCGCTAGAACCACCACTCAGTAAGTATCTATTAAATTACAACTTTGTTAGAGTGATAAGAAATTGGGTTTAATGTATTTGCCTATTTCGGGCAATGCCCTATGTCATTAGTTACTTGATACAAAATTGATGTTAATATTTGTTTACTACAGCTGCAGAAGAATTGCGGATTGTGGGTCCTTGCGGCGTGGGTGGATGTCGCGGGCTCGGGTCTGTGCGTGGCGGCGCGCACAAGCACCACGCGGCGGCCTCAGCCTGCCCCTACCGAGAGCCACCATCGCGCGCGCCCGACCGCCTCGCCGAGCGGGACGCTGACCACGCTCTACCTAGGGAACGCAGGTACATATACATTTTAATTAATAACTAACAAATGTTACTAATATACTATTTAATTTATTATATTGTTATGAGAATCTCCAATAAATATAATCAATTTCCTGTTTAGAGTGCTCACCAAACAGCCCAAGGCAAATTCGATACACACGAGTACTCCCACTAGCGATACTAAAGAGAGGTGAGGGTCATATTTTACATAGGAAAGCTTGTGTTTGGTTTATATGACATTATATAACACCTTTTTATTTTTGTAGACCAAGAGGCAGGCCCCCGAAACATAAGCGCATTGAAGAAGTTGCCAAGAATGATCCGGTATGTATAATTTTGTTCATATTCTGATATTTCTTGTATAATAATAATATGGTATACTTACAAATCTCTGTGTTTGGTTTCATAACAGATTTGAAATAGTTTTAAATTTGTGATTTTGATTGAAATGTTATTGCGACAGGGTTCGGACGACGACTCACTGTCGAGTGGTGGCGGCAAACGTTGGCGCAGCGGTCGGTCCGACACACGCACGCTGCGCACGTACTCGCGCGCCTCGCTGTGCGCGCCCGACCACGCCTCGCGCGCCTCGTGCGCCCCCGCGCCGCCGCCCGCCCCGCTCCGCGACCATCTCGCCACTCACCTCGCCGCGCACCTCACAGCACTCGCGCTACCACATGATCCTACTATTTGGACACAGGTAATTGGCCCCTTTTTATGTTGAAATTGAAACTATACATTTTGTTTTTTATCTTTAGCTTCTATTATATATATAAAAATTAGTAGAAATGCATATGAAAAGTATTTCATGCTTTGTTCCATAATGTCTTAAAGTGTGTTGGTTGACCTTGGATGAAATAATAATTTCAGAGCGACGTGGTGGCACTGGTGAGTCGGATAGCCGGGGAGGCAGCGGGCGCGGCGGCGGCGGCAGCGCGGCTGTCTGGCGCGGAGCTGGTGATGGCGTCGCGCGACGAGCTCGTACAATGCGTGCGCCTGCGCCTGGGGCCCGCCGTCAAGATCTACAGCGCCATACGACAGCTCCGCGAGAACTATACGTGATCGCGCGCCATCGCTAGGGCCATCCTCATGCTCGTATGAAGCCATGTGTGCCGCTAGTGACGTGCCATACCTAACGTACCAAACTAACTGTGTATATAGTGCTCAACTCTGTGTTGCTAAGTTAACCTTGTGCTCATTGTGTTATATGAAAACATTTAAACTCATATGAAACTGACTGTTGCACATTCTAAAGTTAATTTCTATGGTGTCACATTGATGATGTAGTGTATTATGTTGGTTACCGTTATGGGGATGGGATGGATTACGAGTTTAGTTCTGATTTCGTGCTCATTTATATAATTGCAGCATTAATTGTGTTGAGTAGTTTGCGAAAATTATGAGATATTGCTTTATTGGCCAAATTAGATTTCATACAAGTGCTTGGTCTTAGTATTTGTTGTGACTGTTGTAATATTTAAGAATTTAGTCTAATAAAGCTATATTATTTTTAAATTACAATTCTCAACCAATCAAACAAGCTTTATCAAAATTTTGAAAATGAGTAATGCGTACCATAAGTTTTTGATTTGATTGTTTGTATCAAGCAATATTTAATAATATGTATTTTAGCACAAAACACTAAGATTTAAATGTGGCTTTAATTGCGGAGGTTGTGATTGTATGCAATCTTAGTGTCGTGACTTTGAATAGAAATTATTTAGGAAATTCATAATAATATCAACATTAAGACACTGGAAATCAAAATAATATCTATCAAAAATTAATGTGTTATTTTTAAATACATGTGTGGTGTACAAATTATGTAAAAGCTGTCTATCGATATATAATTATAATAAACCAGCTTTTGTTGGTACCATAATTAATAATTAGTAGGTAGGTAGGTAGGTACTACTGACCTACTCTACTGTAACACATGTCTGATATTATTTTCCATATATATTCCTAAAGTATTTATCTCGTAACAAGAATGAGAAATAGAAAAATAATATTTGTTTCTTAAAATTACACTACACCCTAGCATTATTAATGTCTGTAGTTCTGGGCTCTCAAACCTTATTATAGTGATCTTAAAGATAGATTCGAATTTTATTTGATAATTGAATATCTGAGAAGTTTTTTAAAGGACACAATGTTGTATTTTGTAAATATTAAGACCATGTACATAATATTTAGTGCAATGTAATGTTAATGTTATTTTTACTTTCTCACCTCTTTGTAATGTCTTAAATACAGAAACGTTTTTAGTTCATTTAGATTGACAGTCTTCATATTAGTCAGTGTTAGTTGAATATTACTTAATAATTTATGAAATATCTCTTTGAGTTTATTTTACATAGTTAGGAAGTTAGTTATAGACAAGAATGGAATTTTATTTGGTTTTAACAATCATGTATTGGTTATTGTCTAATCTAAATTAATAGAAAACTAAAATATGTGTTTTTATTAACAGTGATGTAGACAAATATAAGAATTAGTTGAAAGATGATGTGTTAATAAACAGCTAATGATGGATTAGATCTAAAGTGTAAAATATTTATTTTGAAAGTGTCAAGAAAATATGTATTGAAATCCAAATTATTTTGGGTTACTTTTTATTTTTACAAAGAGTGTCCCTATGCTTCCAAGGGATATTATATTTGTGACTATTTGTAAATATTATAATAGGCTGCTGTAATGTTTTCTAAAGCGCCACATTTGTACATAGTGCTGCGTACGGATATTGATGTAAGTTTTTACACAATGACGACTAGTTAGTATTATAGTGCCATTTTCTTTGGCACCAAATATTTTATTGTTACTCTGTAATTTAATAAAAACTCTGAAAGTATACAGGTATTTTCTTTTGCGTTTTTTTTTTCGTACAACCAAATCGATAGCCATGTCCATTGGCTGGGCAGCCTAAAGAGTATAATAAGTTTGCCCATACCGCCGCCAAACAAACAAAACAGGTATATTTTTTATTAAAAAAATATCTGTTTAGCACACTACCATAACTATATGTATTTAAAATTAATCAACCATTATCTTAATAAATAGTAATTTAAATATAGAAGATTTGGAAGAGTTGGACATCGCGTTAGATTGTAAGTCATATCATGTACCTTTCCATATATTTATTTTAAATTCTCTATAAAATACATTTTTAAATACTACTTACAAAAACATAAAAAAATCAAAAATTTATGTACCTTTATTATTAATTAATAAATAAATAATAATAATAAACAGCCCATGCCCTGTGGGCCTTATGCCACCCCCAGTGAGCACGGGTGTAGGTACACGGTGACTAATCGCGACTCCGACACGTTCTAGTAAAGTGTAAAGATGAAAGCTGTGCCGAAACGTGATCAGTACGATACTGAACGAAATAGCGAGCAGGGTCGGCAGGGCTTTCTGGTTCCATACTTGAGTTAGATTAGGCATGACCACCATATTTAACATTGAGTTTTTTAGTTAATATTTTAATAAACGCTCAATGTTGAGTTGGTTGTCTGAAACAATGATTTAAATGTGGGAGAGTCATGCTTCGGCACGAATGGGCCGACTCGACCGGAGTGATACCACGGCCTCATAGAAAACCGACGTGAAGCAACGCTTGCGTTGTGTTTCGTGGTGTGAATGAGGTTACCGGAGGCCCAATTACCCTCCCCTTCCCCAATCTCTTCAATTCCTGAAACCCCAACGATCCTCAAACTCCTAATCCCCAAAAGGCCGATAACGCACTTGTAACGCCTCTGGTGTTCCGGGTGTCCATGAGCACCGATTGCTTACCATCAGGTGATCCGTCTGCTCGTTTACCGGCTTATGCCATAAAAAAAATATGATCGGGAAACTGAATTAACATGACCACATCTTAGCTGCATACTCTGCCTCCTGCCCCTTTATATATTATACTCTTTGCTCCTGCATTCAGGCTATAAGCTAACTAGTGCGAAAAGGGATGAGTGGGAAGTTTTTTTAGTTCATTTATTAATACCAAAATAGTTTCATTATGCACATAAAATTGATATTTTATTATATTGACTTCAAAACTTGTATTCAAAACTTAAAGCATTGACTTCAAAAAAAAAGGAGGGGGTTCTCAAGTCGACTGTATGTTTTTTTTATGTTTGTTACTCCATTACTCGAAGACGCCTGGACCGATTTCAAAATTTCTTTTTTTGTTCGAAAGGGTACGCTTGTCGCTTGGTCCCATTGTCATGAAGTAAGGATCTGATGGTGGAATCCCAGGGAAACCGAGGGGAACTTTTAAAAATTATAGGGACGACCAGTGCATTTGTTAGTTTTTTCGTTAAGTATTTAAAACCACTACAATCTGATAAAGATCTGGAGTTGATCTGATGATGGAGGCAGTCGAGGGAACTCCTCAACGGTTAACAGTAGCTGTCTTGTGTTTGGGTTTGATTAATTTGTGTTGATGAGGACTTTACACCTTGGTGTAGTTTGGTTGTCACTAAATGCCAATGATGAAGTAGTTTGATAGCTATGAGCTTTGAGAACAATGGTTAACAGTAGCTACCCGGTGTTTGAGCTTGAATAATATGTATTGATGAAAACTTTGCACCGATGTGGGTTGTGCAAAATATAATATATTCTACTACTAAACTAAAAAGTATAAAATAAAAAACTGCGTTACAAAAACCGACTTCAAAAACAAAAAACAAACAAAAACTAAAAACTATAAAGCAAAAAATGACTATTATTGGTCATACGTACTGATAGGTTAGAAATCGACTATCCATAATACTGTTAGTATTATGGATAGTATTAAGGATAGATTAAGGATAGTATTATGGACATTATTGGTCATCCGTACTGATAGGTTAGAAATCGACTATCCATAATACTGTTAGTATTATGGATAGTCGATTTTCTTCATATCACATCCTAAGATGGACACGAAAATGCTTATACAGTCTATGGTTGACTTTTATATTCTGTGTTTCGTGATACACATACTCTATGGTTTCGTGTTCTATCTATGATTTTACACTGGGAACTTGTTAATTGTTTGTCAGCCAATTTTCATGTGTTTTTAAGAGTGATTGTGTATAATCTAGTAAAAATAACTTAATAAAATGGCTCTGTATTGTGCAAGTAAGTACTCTAAGCACATCATTTTATCAATGCACTTTGACATTCACCATTTTTCGGAAGGCGCGTATCTGTCTCTGCCGGTGACCGAAATGGATGAATACTATTTTGTGAAACAATTCTCTTCAATTATAGATGCTAGGAATAACAAAGATACTATTAGTATTGTACTTCAAGTCCAGCTATTTACAAACAAACCATCGGTGGTTGTAATTATTTATAACCTAATTTTTGTGTTTTTAGTATCTAATGAGGTCCCTGAACAACCTGTGGTGTCTCCATCCTCGGGAGCCGTGTTTGAGAAGCGTGTCATAGAGAAGTATATAATAGAAAATGGAGTGGACCCTATTAATGGCAAGGAACTGCGAGTTGAAGATCTCATTGAGATAAAAAGTGAGTGTGTTGTCTACAATTTTAACTATTTCATTGGATGTTCGGTAGAAAACATTAACTTGGCAGCAGTAAAATGGGTAAAAGACCGATAAAAGTTTGTAAATAATTCTAAAGAATTACTGGGCCAGTGAGTATCCTTGGGGTGGAAATTGTATGTATGCAGTCTTTCATTTTCTGTTTTTTCTATTTTATGAATGTTTTTTAGTACAAAATTATTTAACATTATCAATAATATTATGTGTTTACAAGTACCTACTTGTAGTCACCACCTGGTGACTACAAAAGGATTTTATTCTAATTAAATGAAATCATCTGATTTTATTTAGGCATCATAAATTATAATCAATATGCCATACCTACATATGATACATACATACTAGTACTTATGTGATATTAAATTATCATACATAACATCACACCTTTTATCCCCGAAGGGATAGGCAGAGGTGCACATTACGGCACTTAATGCCACTATTAAATGTAACACTCACTTTCCACTATTTATAGTATGAGTCCCATGTAATAGGGGGTGAGCCTATTGCCATATACCAGGCACAATTCCAAACTCCATGCTACTACTTAGTATTTTTAAAACCCAGTAATACTTTGCCCGACCCGGGAATTGAACCCCTTGCCCGACAGTCGCACTTGCCACCACTTAGCCAATGAGGCAGCAAATTATGATACATATTATTAATTTACTTATTTAAGTTGTCAATACACTAAATGCAATGGATGAATGACTGGCATAAGTGAAAAATACTGTAATTGTTGTTGTATCTTGTCTTATACAGCTCCACCAATAGTGAAACCAAAGCCTCCAAGTGCCACGTCTATCCCTGCTACCTTAAAGAGTATGCAGGATGAGTGGGATGCTCTCATGCTGCATGCCTTCACTCAGCGCCAACAGCTACAAACTGCTCGACAGGTTAGTCACATGCTGCAGCAACATTGATTTATAGCCCTTTATTTGCTTAAATTCCACAAATATTTTTTAAGTTATGTTTAAAATACCTATATTGCTTTGTATGTATCTAAAATGTAACTTAATTCTATCCTCATAGGAATTAAGTCACGCTCTCTACCAACACGATGCGGCGTGCCGTGTGATCGCCCGTCTAACTAAGGAAGTGACGGCCGCGAGAGAAGCCCTTGCAACACTCAAACCACAAGCTGGCATTGTAGCTCCGCAACCAACTCACCAGGTACGTTTTAAATATGTTCTAAGGCTGTGGTGGGCTAATCCAATCTTCAGAATGTTATAATCCAACCAAGTTATGGTCCTTCATAATGCTTATTATTTGACCTTGATAAAATCTCTATGTATGGTTTGAGTGATAATTATTAGGAATGTTTCAGTTAAGTATCAGTCCCTAAAATTGTTCTGATTATATTATTGTACTGATAACTAATTGTTGATAGGCGGAAGCCGGTGCTGCAGGCGGCGGCGGCGTGGCCCCGGTGGGGATGTCCAGCGAGGTGGTGTCGCGTCTGCAGGAGCGTGCCACCGCGCTCACACAGGAGCGCAAGCGGCGCGGCCGCACCGTGCCCGAGGGACTGCTCGCGCCTGACCAGATACGAGCTTTCCTCACCTTGGCATCACATCCCGTGAGTAGGAAATTAAGAATAAGAATAAGAAATAATTTATTCATAAACCAGTTACAACACAATTAATTTTAACACTTTAGTTTTTCATGACAAGAGCTGTTGATATAATTTTATTAAGTCTGCTTAAGTAAGTTTGTTCTCATAGTGACTGTACTTTGTTCTTCAGGGTCTCCACTCAGCCAGTGTGCCTGGTATCTTGGCTTTGGACATCAACCCATCAGATCACAGTAAACTGCTGACGGGTGGTAATGACAGGAATGCCACTGTGTTCAATAAAGACACAGAGCAAGTGGTGGCCATCCTCAAGGGTCACACCAAGAAGGTCACCCGCGTCATCTATCATCCAGATGAGGATACTGTTATCACTGCCTCACCAGATCACACTATTCGTGTATGGAATGTGCCTACGTAAGTAAAAATTCACCAAAAAAATTCAGTTGATGTGCCTCTACTTATACATTCATATACGCTTTGTTTTTGTTTAGTTTGTTATTTAATCACAACATTTACTTTACTTGAAAGTTTACATACTGATTATGACGCAAATATTTAACTACTATGCTAAATTGTTGTTCTCAGGTCTCAAACTACAGTGATCCTGCGGTCCCACGATGGACCTGTGACTGGCTTGTCCCTCCACCCCACTGGCGACTACGTCCTGTCGACGTCTACCGACCAGCACTGGGCCTTCTCCGACATCCGCACAGGCACGTTGCTCACTAAGGTCAGCGATTTCTCTGGTGTCAGCCTTACCACGGCCCAGTTTCACCCTGACGGTCTAATTTTTGGTACTGGTACTGAGAATTCTCAAGTTAAGATTTGGGACTTGAAAGAGCAGAGCAATGTGGCTAACTTCCCTGGACACGTGGGACCAGTGACATCCATCTCCTTCTCGGAGAACGGTTATTATCTTGCTACAGCAGCTGAAGACGCGTGCGTTAAGTTGTGGGATTTGAGAAAGCTTAAAAACTTCAAGACTATTCAACTAGAAGAAGGGTATGCCATCAAGGAGTTGTGCTTTGACCAGAGTGGTACTTACCTGGCTATTGCTGGTACAGACGTGAGGGTATACCTGTGCAGACAGTGGCAGGAGTTGAAGGTGTTTAATGACCACACAGCATCCGCCACGGGCGTCAGGTTCGGTAAGAACGCGCAGTACATCGCGTCTACTAGCATGGATAGGACACTCAAATTGTATGGGATAGAGTAGGCTAGTCCAATATTATTGTAATATCTTTGGTGATCGTTTTCGCGGGGCGACTTAGCACTGAACACTGACTTGTAAAATTAAATAAAATTGTTTCGGAAGTACAGGTTCATGTTTGCCTCAGTTCGACATGTTCATTTATTTCGTAGTAATGAGAGTCCACTAGAAAAGTTCTCTTACAGTAATCGTTAATTATATTTTCTCTTTAGTATCCCAAATGTTAAGATTGATTTTATGTTGATTTTTTAACTTTTAATATAAGATAATTATTATTTGACTGCTTCTGTTCAACAAGTATTTTAAAACACTAATACTACAGAGACATTTCCCATAATCAAATATAATTAGGTTAGACTTTAGTGAATAAATATAATTGTAAGTATATCCTTAAATGAGTGGTTATTAATTCAGAACTTGTGAGAAGCTGAGCTGACGGATTGAGGAAATATTTCATTTCTTTATTAATAAAGGGAATGAATGTACATAACATGTTTTATTTCACAAATAAGTGGCCAAAAGTATGTTGCACCAATTTTAAGTAACTTGTGATATAAGAACCAGGAAAACAATTGACTGCTCAAAAAATCACCCAAATTATCATTAGGCACATAAAACAAAGTTCAGCATCATGTATCTTTATTTTAAAATTTACAATTAAAAACAAACCCTCCCGTCACAACGTAATTAGTTTGATACAATAATTATATATACACTTATCATTACAGGAATATTAACATAAAACTACCAATTCATATAATATGCGTCTTTCCGAGTATCCACAACGCCTACGCCAACTATCATACAAAATGTAGTCACATCTCCGTATTAAAATAAAATATAATTTAATTCTTTAAACGACATTCAAAACCTACTGTTTTGTGTACATTCAACAGTAACCAAGGCAGAATACAAAATACACAGATGGTAAATGTTACGGGTGTCTAAGGCAAACTTGTGCAACACGTTTCACTGCTCCTTAGTGCCTGTTCACATGCTCCGGGTACCTGGTACCTGGCGGCCAAAGTACGTCAACACGTGTAAAAAGCGTACATAGTTATACACTATCGCCGGGTATTAGGTAACGGTAGTGTGTGATGAGGGCCTTAAAGCTTTGTTGTGACAATATTTCACAAGGAGTTGTCGAAGGAACAACCTTGGAGTCGAGCTCCTAGGGCGTTTCGTTGCGTGCAGGCAGTCCCAGAGCATCTGCGTACTTTGTACACGAGCATACAGCACTGAATATTGCGAGACTAGCCTTAGTAACCTAATCGCGAAACGAGTAAAGATGAAGGCCCCTGTAACATTAACATGGGTTTATATACAAAGTAGCTTACATAGCACTCACTATTACTATAAAAAATTAGACAATCTGCCAACCGCATGTCTTGGACATCGACGAAGCATAATGCTCGATTTTAGATACTATCATCATTGCCTAACATTATATCTTTATTGTAGTCTTCATGTAGTAAAATAGGACATCTTATTACTGAATGTTAAACACAATTTTTTCTCCATCTATAATACATTATAATAACTTCAATAAATGTGATTTAAATGTCGAGTGGTATATCGACATAATTTAAGTAATTATTGATATAAGTGCACATAAAGTCGCTATAACGACTCGATTTTAATAAATTAAATGAGTACTAACTAACTTTAGCCAGTGTGGTTTTCGAAGGAAATCATTGGTTGTGGTCTGTTCCTACCGTGTGGTTAGCCAACAATAATTTTGTGATTAACTTGTTACATAATATAAATAACTTGGTAATTGTTCAAATGTACGATATAAAAATCGTTGTTTAAGTTCATCAAGTTAATCAATAGTCATAATTAGTGCGGTAAGAGTATAGAAGCAGCTGCAGGTAGCTCGGCAGTACAACTAGCAACCAGCAGCGCTCACCAGTAGTGGGCTGGCGAGGGGACTACTAGTCGTGGCGAGCGACGCGCGACTTAGCGGGCAGTGTAGCAGGTATAGTGTGGACGCGATATGTTTACACTTATTCACTTCAAATTTTTTATGTTACATGGTACTCACTGTTTTTGGTTTAGACAATTTATCTAATGAAGTGGAAAATAGAGGTGAAAAATCTTATTCCCTTGTACCATAGGTATGACCCATCCATTACAACTACGACGTCTGAATGAGTACCAAAATCTAGTAAAACTAGAGTTATTACAAGAATAGTTATTTCATGTCTCATAGTAACTTCCCTTTTTACAGGAAACCTAACAAGAAAAAAATATCTTTCTCCTAATTAAATAAGTTTTAAGAACACAAAAAACGTAGTAAAATCAACTCACATAAATGTTGATTTTGTTAAATTGATTGTTTTAAGGAAAGTACTTTAAACCAGTGTTTAAAACTATATAGTTTATTAGGAACATTCCAACATTTGATAATTTAAGCAACTCAACAATATTCCTTAGTCCCATTTAGGTTCCACTATCTAGACTATGATAAAGTGCTGTATAAGGCTTTATGCACTATACATATGGAGCATTGGGCTTGACTATATTCTACTCCAGCTAAACTATAGGTTTCATCAAAGTAAAAGAGATCTAGTAGAGGCGATATCTAGTTCAGTAGCAGATAGTATAATACAACATGTAACGTAGTTAACGCACACCCTCAAACACCCCAATTAGAATATTGTTATAATCATAATACATACACTACATTTTTACTTTAACATGTATATGCATCCTTACTAGTCTTGTCATAAGGTTTATTTTTCTTTATTTTGTGTTGAATGATAGAATTTGTATGAATACAAATAAAACTGCGATTTTAAAAGTCTTATTGCTTTGAATTACGGTCCATTTCGATTTGTTTTAACAATACAGGGTTAATATGACAATAATTTCCGTAGTTTTAATTATTTTTGGGATAAAAAATTACCTATACTAAAAATTATATAAATCGATTCAGTTAACGATTCTGAACAAACTATTTTCAGGATGTGCGTTATTTAAGTTACATGTTGTTTATCTTGCTATTATTGTAACTTGAAAGTTTAGCCGATGAAACAGAAAATCAACACTTGTGAGTTTTGTATCGAGACATCAAACCATTCGTATTAAAAGATTTTCATGTATAATGCAGAACCTACATTTGTGTAACAACCATTTTTCTATTTTAACGTAGTAGTAACTTTTGCAATAGTATTTTCACGGACATACTACATTGGACAATAAACTCGTAGCACGTTGTTAGAGTATATCTCAACTGTAACATACCTACAACCTGTGCGCGATAACATGGCCCAGCGTGAATGCGGTCTTTTACGAATTATATCGTCCTTATTATAAAAAAAAAGAGTAAATAATGTCATTGAGGAAGGCCTATGTTCCCCAGAGACGTCTTTTGGTTGACATGATGATGAAATATAAAAATAGACTAATAAAACTGATATCACATTGCATCACTAAAGTTGCAAGTTAACGCGTACACGTCATACATACTATACCCCAACCCTTTTCACAACATTTTAATTTTTATACACTTGTACCTTTCCAGGAGGTAAATAGTCCACCAGCAATTTATTTTAAAAACTATTAAAGGAAATGGGGAGAATTTGGTTAAGATCGCGACCAAAGTGTAAACATACCGAAGCGCACACTGATGTCAAAGGCAAGTCAGTGAGGATGCAGGACGCGGCCCGTGGGCGGCGGACTCATTTCCGGCGGTCATGCGAAGATCAGCCACAACACAAATAAGATGGCCACCCACAGAAATATCTTCGATAAGAACTGCTCCTCATCGTACTGGGCAGTGCCACGGGGTGCTGTACAAACAATATTACCGAATTATTCACTAATCACATTCAGAAACACACACTACACAACATATGAACTGCTTTTACATACCGGCACTGGGTCTTGGATCTCCGAAGTTGAATGTGGATGTAAACACTCCAAACGGAAAGGCGCCTATGCCAAAAGACATGTGGAAGCCCTCGCCAAACCCGAAGCCAGGGAAGCCGCTAGTATTCTCGGGTTCTGTACGCTGTCCCGCTGGCCTCGGTGGTACCTACAGATATCGTTAATTCTTATCCTGATTGAAAAGGTCGATAATAAAAGGCTAATATAGGGCATCGTCAACTAAGGTTGTCTTTTATAATAGATTGTTTTATAGATAAAACCACCTATTGTATATTTATGATTAGTTACCATTGCTATTTTATTATTTGTGATGCATGTATGGTGTAAAATAAAGAGTATTGTTGAAAGATCCTGGGACTGGCTTGATAGATTTCATCATGAGCAGAATCAAAGATTGCACAATTTTTTTGATGGCTTGCATCAACTTTTCTAGTTAACAAAGTTTCTATAGTAATATGAGTCATTTCATGATTTAATTTAGTAAATGATTGCGTACCTTATTCCTAGGGTCCTCCTGTTTAGTGTTGCCCCTGCCATACAGCGGGATAACTTTGTCTCTACTAATGGCTGCTTTGCACACTGGGCACACCTGCCGGCTGGGACGTGTCTCTAGCCACTGGTGCAAACATGGCCAACTAGGATCATAGAAAAACATTTTTTTTTAATTAAACAGAGCTCTTGTCAAAAATAAAAGATCAAGATTAAAGAAATTATGATAACTAATTAGTAATAATTCAAAATTCTGAATGTTTATATTAGGCCTTGTATAATATAAATATTCATACATTCATCATAAATATTGAAAAGTGGGTGTTACATTGTACAGTGGCATAATGTGCACCTCTGCCTACCCCCTTCGGGGCTAAAAGGTGTTATGTTATGTTATTCATCAATTAGAGCTTTCTGAAAAATTTTAAAACAAAATTCACTTATGCCTTAGTCTGATTACATTAACTCGTCGAGTACCGTCATTATAGACTCAATTAAAGAACAATAGGTTGCGGTCACCGGTGACCGCTTAGTGTTTGACAGTTTAATGTTAAATATGTAAATTGAGAACTAGTTAGAGCTAGAGAACATCTATGTTTAATTAAAATATCATTATTATTATCAGGCAGTAGACGTCTAATGCTGAATAAATATCTTGTTCATCCTAATTCACAAATCATGTCATTTGGGTTTACTTTACTGACCGGTATGTCTACATAATACAAGCTAAGAAGTATATTGTGCACAGATTTGGATGTTATGTTGAATCACAAATCAATACGGAAAGTCTAAGTGCATTGCATAACATAAAAACTGGTTCCATACTTTATTTTTTTGTTTATGATTGCCAGTATTCAGCTTATTTGATAATTTATGCCAAATTAATATAGCATTGTATTGTTACCTTGAATTTTTAATATTATATTAGGTAATTCTTTGCTTAAGGAAAGTACCAGTACACTATCAAGTCTTCAATCAGTACTTCCATATTTTTGAGTAAAATTATTAGTTCCTTCTAGATCTTTATTGAAGTGAAACTAAAACTTACTAGTTTTTTATTGGTCTTTCATTGGTTTGGAGGTACAGGATATGATATCAGATACACATTAAGAAAATTGTAAACAAGAATGCTTTACCAACATCAACAAACACTTCCTAACTGTAATTTCAATTAAGAAACTTATTATAATGTAATGAGATTACTTACAAATTAGCATCAGACTTAAAATTCTAAATCAAGAGGTGAATTACCCTAACTTTAACACAGTAAAGTGAATGAACGCCAAACATATTCAGTTTACTTTTTGGAATACATTAACATACATTTTTTAATTGTATTTTTAACTTATGGAATGTATGATATGTGAAGGTGTCGTACCAAAACAGGTGGCCACACATGCTGACGACGGCGTCGCGGGCCGTGTCCAAGCAGATGTTGCACTCCAACATACGCTCATCGTGTTTGTCGTCTTCCCCACCAGCGTCACCGCCCGGCGCCGATGCGCTTGCTCGCGCTTCACTCGTCTCGGCCATCGCTCTGTCCAAAAAAACACTCCACAATACTGATCACGTCAATTACACATAAATATTCAACAATAAAACCTTATCACTTCAATGACGTCCCAGTGTGACACGACAAAACTTCACAGGCTTTTCTATAAATTAATCTAGGGAGATCTTATTAGAAATTTTAGTAATTAAATCACCTGACACTGTTAAATTTGAACAAATACCCAGCGTTTTCACACAGAAAATTATAAAAATAAATAAATCACATCCCCAATCCCGTGGTTTGATGATCTGTCATTTTTTGATCATAGACTACAGACAACTGTCAAATATTATAGTTTGTGACAGATTTTATTTAATGACTACGTGGCTAAAAACATTTTTATGTCTATATTCTGATGAACTAAGCATATTTTTACCCATAAAAATAATATGATTGTTATTAAATTACATTTATAAACTTTCACATAGAAATCGATTTCATTTGTTTATAAACAAATCTTATAGATGTTTTCTTTGACATTTATGGTTTGACGTTTAAGCGTTCCGATTGGCTGTTCTTTGTCTGATCGTAGTAAAGTCGATAAATTTGTACAAGGAAAACAAATGTCAAGATTTCGCCTGTGTGAACTGATTATTGTGTGAAACATTTTGAGATTGATACCATTTTGCTTATGTTTATGGAATTAAGATTACGGATTGTTTTGTGTTAAATTGTGGTTTATTAAAATCACCGATTGAAAAGGCTGGTCCCAAAATATGTTGAAAAACAATTGTGACGTCACAATTCCAATCAGCTGAGGAGGTGTGTGGAGGGAGGGTTGAAGAAGATAGTGCAGCAAAACAAACAAGATGGGTGGTGCAGTGAGCTCTGGGCGTGATAATAATGAGCTGATTGATAACTTGATGGGCAGCAACTACATCCGCACACGATCCGTGGAGAGGGTGTTCCGTTCGCTCGACCGGGCGGACTACATGACGCCCGAGGCTAGGGATCAGGCGTATAAAGACCTTGCCTGGCGGAATGGGCCGCTCCACATGTCAGCGCCGTGTATTTACAGGTAGGTGGCTCCAGCGATGTAGTCAAAAATTCAATCCTTTACCGACGACTTACGATGTCAGTGTAGCCTTCAAAGCTTTCTATAGTGAAATGTGTCAAAATGTTGATATTTTATTGCAGCAAGTTTGAGTGAGTTTCTATTGCATTCTGTAGTACAGGACACTCGGAACAACTAAAGCATGGAAGCCAGGCTAAAATAACAACTACAATCCATATATTCATCTTTTTTTTACTTATGGTATTGATAGTGTATAAGAAAGAGACATGTGTATTGTTTCGTTTCGTTATTATGCAGGTTGTCACTACTTGTAAATATGCTAGTGATGGGAATAAATTAATATATTTTATCGACAAATTATGGTACCTGAAAGTATTGCTGCTGTGATTTAACGTACATTAGGTTCTTAATCTGGATGTCGTGGGTTCAGAAATAAAACACAATATTAAAAAGATAATTTAATTGCTCACAAACAAAGCATATTTACAAACCGTGGTAGTGGTGTACTATTATGTGTTTACCATTGACTTTTAAATATAATTGTCTTTGTTAAATATGTGCGAATTTTTTCGGTAGGTACAGTCAAATTTTTAGTTATATAATGTATCCTAAGTTTAAAATATTTTTGTGCTATGGACTTTATAAGATTTCTGTGATCATCATAGAAAGATTGTTCTAATGAATAATCTTTTTTTTCACGAAAATTTTTTGACGGCAACACATGTGCTGAAACTTTATTAATCAATCTAATAATTATTTTGGTTTACCGAGAGATTTTGAATCAATATGCACTTGATATTCTCTTATAATTTTTTCGGACAGTTGACAGATCTTGGTTAAGCCATATGTTGGTTTAAATAGGCCTCCTCTATATTTAAAGATATCAAAGATCTTTGGAATACTCTCCGTATTTCTATGCATTTTTCGCATTGTAAAGATTTTTTAAATTCGTTCCGATAAAGCCGATTATGTATTCTATGACATTCTTAAAATATTCCGTAATAGATGATGGGTACAAAATGTAGTCGTGTTCTGTCAAACCATCAAAAGTAAGTATTAAGTACTATAAAGAACTTCAAAGCCTAACTAAAATATCGATATGTAACATGACCACATCACTAGCTTAAAAATTAACTTAGAAAATTTATTTAGATTTTTTAGGTAAAGATGGAATAATACTGTTTAGGCTTACAATTGAAAAGTACGACAATAATAAGTAACATTTATTTATAGTTTACCGTTATTTCCAGTATAATTTATTTTAAAACATATCAAAAAGTTACAAATGAAAGTGAATTTTTTCACCACTGTTTTCTTTTCTTCCTAAATGTGAATTGCAGCCGTCAATCACACAAGACGTATTTTTATTAAGTAAAACACATAATAAAGAACGACCATACACTTTCTTTCTTCCTTTCTTTTGCGCTAATTCCTTAGAAAATATTTTTTATTATCAGGAGCCGTAAATACAACCACTGTGACACTTCAGTACTATAATCCGGCAAAGTGAGGAAGGTGTCAAACTTGAGTGAAACTGTGAAATATTGAACGTCAAAACGTGATTTTGAATTTGGTAGTATGCTGAATGAGTCCAATGACATAAGATTGTAATGAGTCCACTGAAAGTTGTGACAACCTGCAAATTATCAGAACTATGTTCAGTTTGCGGTCTCATTCTCGCCTACGCAAAATCGTGTAAAGAGTGAGAGCATCAGATATATGTTTGTAAATTGCTATTTTAGCCTGGCTTCCATGTCTAGTTATTGTTCCGAGACAGGACAAGATCATAATGTCATCTTTACATTACATCTTTATGTAAAAGCTTTCTAGAAACTCATTTCACTATACATACATACATACATACATATGTATGCACAATATGCATTGCATATTGTGTACAGCTACCCTAAGAGATTGAGCTGTATCTTATTATTAAAATTTAAAACTGTTGTTTATGTTAACTTAATGTCATTTAGGTTTGTATGTAACAATAAAGATAACTAAGCAGTTACAGATAATATTATTATACATTTACGAATTAGATAAGTACTGATATATTATACAAGACATACAATTTTGTTTTATTTTTTATTGTACTTTAGGGAACAGTGTACAGTTCCAGCACCATCATGTATAGTTGAGTTTGGTTTGACCTTTCTGACTCAAAACAATTCTATTCACTATCAATATTTTTAATAGGTATAACATCACAGATTTGTTTTTTCAATGGACTAGTTATTTGTATCTGATCCTATGCTATGGTCATGACCATAAAATAAGCTATGATTAAATAAAATAATGATGAAATGATTAAGTAAAATATAAAGGTTAAACAGTTAGGGTAACAAAATAAATGGGGTAGACGACTAATTTTTATTTTAATGTCCGTCTGATAGATTATTTAAAAACATTAGACACGTATTTTTTATTTTCTCACAGAAACGAATAGTTTCGAAGATATATTGATTTGAAATGTCGCGTGACGTCACTTCTCAGTACATTTTATACTAAGGAATGACGTTTTAGCCCCCACTCCTAAACTTTGATTCGTTTTATCTAAGTATTGTTTTATTATACGACAAAATAAAAAAATACTTGTCTAATATTTTTTCATTACCTAACTTACGGACTAATTATATTTTTAATTTTCATACCCTGTCATCATCCCTATTAAAAAATATATTAGAAAATTAGCTTCTGCCTGTGACTTCGTAAGCGCAATCCCATTTTTTCCTGTTCGCATTCGTGATTTTCGGTAAAATTAAAAAAATATTGGTTCAAAATTATGGTTGGATAAAGAATATCTAGGGATGTAGGTAGGCTGCTGGAAAGCAAACTAATGACATAAGTGTATAAAAGATATAATTCAACTAAATATGCTTCTGTAAAAATATGTCATAAATTTGTTATGAAGTACTTTTGCAATTACTAATACATTTAACTATCTAAGATTTTGCTTCTCCATCTGATCCACATGATGACTCCTTTATGCCACTATTAACACTGCAGGTTTACTTTGTAAAATAGACAATTAAATATCATGATCTTGTTTAACCACACTACATTCGACATTTTGGAACGAGCGCCTAGCTTCACTGACGGACAGACTGACAGACTATTATTTATTTCATATTTGTTGACATTTCAAAAGTACCAAATTAAGGTTTAATTGAAATAAATGCTTTTGAGTTTGAGTTTACATGCAAAGCGACTTGCAATACTAAATGTACTGCTAAAAACATGTTTTATTATACAGTTTAATTTTTAATTGCCACTAATGGTTTTAGAAATAAGACATCAAGTCTTAAATTCTCATACAATCTTATTTGCTTAAATGGAGAAAACAACAGTCAGTACACATCTTTCCTATTCCATGTACATCTCCTGTTTCGTCAAAATGTGCATGTATATATCATAAATTCATGCTGAACAGAACTACTTTCCTGGCGTGCCTTCAGTACTTTTCTTTTATTTTTTGAAGTAACTAATAATATTTTCTCAACATACCTATTATTGATTTCTTACCTTGTCCGTTCTTGTTATTTCTTTTATTGGCACAAATTTCATATTTACTTAGTTTCATACCCCATACCCCAACAGAGAGCAGAGCATCACAATTATAAATGCGAGTTGTAGAGATTTTTGGTGGAACACTCAGTATCGTAAATTTCGAAAGCTCAAAAAGTAGAATATAGTAATAATATTTCTATAAACTTACTTTCCAGTGAGGTGTTAGAAGGACTTGAGCTAAAGCCGGGGCTTTCGTTCCTGAACATTGGTTCCGGCACTGGTTACTTTAGCACCCTGGTCGGACTGCTCATCGGCTCCAGTGGCGTCAACCACGGAATCGAAGTCCATCCGTACGTCATGGAGTACGCCATCAAGAAACTGGGACAGTTTATCGAGAATTCCCCTACTTTAGATGAGTTCGACTTTTGCGAACCTAGATTTTATTGTGGTAAGTTTAGTATAGATTCAACTTAGTTCTAAAGATCTAGCCTTTTATGCTTTGCAAGGGTAAGCAAGTAATGGTTGTGTTCTTGTCCAGGTAATGGCCTGTGCATCGCCCCACTACAAGCGCCGTACGATCGTTTGTACTGCGGTGCGGGGTGCCCCGAGGAGTATCAAAACTACTTCAAACAACTTATCAAGGTAGACAATTCATATCGTAAAGTCCTGATTGATCTATACTAATATTATAAAGAGGAAAGATTTGTATTTTTGTATTTTTGTATTTTTGTATGTTTGTAATGAATAAACTCAAAAACTACTGAACCGATTGCAATAATTTTTTCACCATTCGAAAGCTGCATTATTCAGAAGTAACATAGGCTATATAATATCACGCTAGGTCCTATAGTTGTGGAGCAGTAACCAAAAATGTTTTAAAAACGGGGGAAAAGTATCGTTTCTGAGGCCTTCCGTGGCGTGCGCTGAGCATATAGTTAAAGTTATACAAAAATGTTCTATAGATGAATTGTTTATCTTAACATTATTTTTAAAAAAGTCCGCGAGAGCATATGTCTACCTTTTATAGTTTACCCATAACAATCGTTTTAATGAATGGTTCAATCCTTATAAAAGTTTGCTCTAGATAACTTTTGAATTGTTCAATCGGTTACCTTAAGACGCGACATCGACAACGGAGGGCAGGTCGCTAAAAAAAAAACTGAGAATAAATATAAATAAAACGTAAAACTATGTAAAAAATCTTAAGTCCCCCCGTGCGAAGCCGGGACGGGCCGCTAGTATTATATAATGTGCTTAATGGATAGTTTGCACAGGAATTCGTAGAGATTGTTTAGTAAATGACTGATTGAGTAATCGTTCTACTACAATGGGATGTTTGATCTGGCTTTTATTAGACTTGAATTAATCTGGTCTTTCTGCAGTTTAGTTAAGGTTACTGCTGGTGTAAGATCTGAGGGCTCACAAGCAACGGACGTCTTCTTGAGTACGATGTGGGTTGTGTAAGAATGTTTTCATGTTATATTTCGTGGAATAAGTGACGGGTATGTTTTTATACATAAACAAAATTTTAGTTCAATGGATCATGTATTCTGTATAGTGGAACTACTAAATCCTTTGGATATTTTATACATTCGTCCTTTCTTTATAAGTTCAAAACTCTAACGATGAGTGACTTGACACATTTTATGAATTTAAATTAATTCCTCTGATATTTGTGTGAAGGTGGGCGGAGTGTTGGTGATGCCCCTGAATGACAACCTGGTACAAATGAAGCGCGTTACGGTAGACCACTGGGTCTCCAGGAACCTGCTCAACGTGTCTTTCGCAACTCTCAGGATACCTACCAAGGAGGAGGCATTAGAGCTCATCAGGCCCGGTAAGATATTAGTAGTATGTCGAAGTAGCTGCGGTAGTAAGAGCCGGTGTGAGTGGTATCGCCCTGTCGCAGACGAGCAGTGCCCGGCGCGGCTGCAGGTGCTGGCGCGCGCCGTGGTGCGCGGCGGCATGCGCGCGGCGCTGCTGGCGCGCCACCCGCACCTGCGCGAGCCGCCGCCGCGCCGCCCGCAGCCCGCCAGCTCCTGTCCGCGCCGCATCTGTATACCCATCGAGGACGACAGCGACGTCGGTACGTTCTGATGCACTACAACACTACAACACTACTTACACGCAGACCGTTACTCGCACACATTGCAATGCGATAACGATACCATTGTTTATGTGAAACTTTTAAGTTTGATTACTTTTTATTTTTTTAGAGGGCCTTAATGCATTGCACGATCTGGACGATGTGAGCGGTGCCAACGAAATGAATGCACTCTTGAGCCTCGTTCTTAGTATGGGACAGAATCGTGTCGCAGGCGCCTTGCGGTTCGATTCTCTCGATTCGCCTTTTGAATCCGAAGAGGAAGGCGACGGTGACGACAACGGCGATGGTGGCGACGGCGGCGGGAACGGAGGCGGGGGCGGTGGGGGCGGCAGTGGCGGCAGTGGCAGCGGCGGTGGGGGCGGCAGTGGCAGCGGTGGCGGCGGCTAGCGGCGGGGCCGGGGGCGCCGGGGGCGACGGCGACGACGGCCCCCGCGGCCTCGGCCGCGCCCGCGCCCCGTGCGCTCGCTGCGCGTGGAGCGGCCGGCGCGCGCCGAGCGGCACATCCGCGCGGAGCGGGCGGCGGCGCGCGCGGCCGTGGCGGCCAACCCGGACGTGTACAACGACACCATCCTGCCCGAGTACCTGCCGGAGCCCAAGCCGGTGCGCTCGTGCCGCGGCCTGCTCACCTTCGAGTTCCAGGACGAGCGCCGTCCTGTTACTAATGCCTTCAGACAGGACTCGCCTAGCACTTCTGAATCTTCGAAGACAGACTCTGATAGTGCTAAATCAGATCCACTTAAAGTTCCAGCTGAGGTAGAAATATATCTGGGAAAAGAAGTTCCCAGCACGTCGCGTTATGTACAATGGGAGCGACAGGGTACAGAGCAGAAACAAGAGTCCTCCAGTGAAGAGGACACGTCTCAAGATCAAAAGAGGAAAAAACTGGACAGTGGCATCGGGGAGGGGACCACCACGTCCAGCAGCTCCTCGCCTGCTAAGTCTGAGTCCATGGACGAGTCGGACGGAGATGCCATGCAGCCGGAGATCATTTGTGATGAGCTCGAACTCGAGTACGACGAGAATCTTATCGGAGGTAGGTGGATGCTTGTTAATTATTTGTTTATATTTTTGGGTACAGCATAGTATAGACAATATTACACGAGACAACAAGTACTGCATGTTTCTAAAGGAATTTCTTCCTGCAGACTTCCGATTTAAAAAAAAAAAAAATGTACAATCGATTGTGCTACCAAAACAGTATCATTATTTTAATCTTAGGAGAACAATCACGTAATATTCACACTGTAAATTACTGTTGTTTTGGCTGGTGCTCATAATTATGTCTACTGTTGCAACATTCAGGTCGTCGCCGAATTCCGAAGCGTGGGCATTGCGCACAGTCGTCTACGTCGCCCGAGTACTCGGCCAGCTCCTCCACCACGTCAGGCGAGCACAGTCGCTGCAAGCGTCGCGCGCCCGAGCGCGAGCAGGACGAGCACGACGAGCACGAGGAGCAAGGCGAGCACGTGAGCGAACGCTGCGACCGGCACGGGCCCGAGCACGACCACGACTACGACCACGACCGCAGCGAGTACGACGACATGCGGCCGCGGCGCGCAGGCGCGGACGCGCGCCGCGTGCGTCTCTCTATACTGATGAAGCGCGGCGTTAAAGAGCTACCGCTGCCGTACGCGCTCAAGAAGTACGTCAACCTGGGCCGATGCTTCGAGTTCTAAGTACTGGCGCCACCACGTCGGATGCTGTCTCCTACAACATGGCGCCTGCCACACGCGCTGGCAGGCCGGCAGCACTGACGTAGGTACGATATGTATTTGTTTTGTGAGAAGTTTATATTTATCTGTATTTTAGAGTTTATAGAACTCCTATCATCAAGCTTTCAAATCTTAAAATGACTGCCAGAGTACTTAGTGGTGGATATTCGAGTTTTATTCATATTCTGTAGAGTTGTTTGGAATTACATATAAGATTAGACTGTTTCTGGCCAATGTCAATCTGTTGTTACGTTCCAATAATGTACCCCAAAATAGGAATGACGTTTGACTTACACATATATATTGGACTATTGGTTTAGTATTACACATTAATCAAATTTACTTAATTTTAAAAGTCTATATTACAATTTTGTCTCAATTTAACCTTAATAGCTTTTACAATACATGCATACTCTGTAGGTACCTATATTTATGTTAGTTAACTTTGATGATTGGCTACTGGTATTCATCTGATACATAATATTGGGAAACACCAGTTATAACGAAATACCCAGAGATCATTGACTGTGTAGTTAGGTATACTTACATCACTGTTTACTTGAAAGGTTCTTTCAATCTTGTCAACGATGCACTATGGAACTTAATGAAGTACTGTAATTACTGTAGCTCAGTAATGTTCTATCTAAAGTGATTAACGTTATAGGGTCGTAAATAAACTAAATATTGTTAGATTTATCTGACCGCAAATTAAACTCAAGAATTATCCTGAGTTATACGCAAAAATATTATAACTGTATAACATTGTATTTACCATCATAAAATGTTAAGAAATGATCTAAGATCTCTTTGAGAGTGTAACATTTAAATTGTAAATATTGTTTATGTAGGCTAAGTTCGGCCATTTCCATAGATCTGGATGATATGTCGGACGCTTCGGTTTTCAAACGGGCCGCCATTTTGTTGTTCGCGGCCGAGACTGGCAGCCGAGATAACCACAAGTCGTATTGTAATCGATGTTGCCGCCTGTTACTTCATCATTTCGGAGTTTTAGTAAGATCCGAATCAATGCAGAAATCGTATAATTTACACGATATTTGCTTGAGACAATAGTATCGATTGCCCTGCCTAAAGCAATTATGACATATTCCAGTGTACTTATATTTTACAAATAAGTATAAGTTTTGTTCACTGCATATTAATTGGCTTGGTTCTTTTGTTGCTTAGTTTCAGCCGTGCACAATAACTAGAATTTATAAACAATTTTCTACGCCTATATCTGGCGAGTACTGCAGTTATTGTAGATTAGTCGATTATTATTAAGACTGTCGATGCGCTGCCATTCAAATGGCGTTAGTAGGAACAATGTTGCGAGGTCACATTTATTGTGTGTTAATATTTAATGTATATGCTAAAAGATCCATTAATGTATTGGGTTCGTACTGATACACGAGGAATTGTTTTACACTTGCTGATTAACTCTATAAACAAGTGCACTGATATTTTGTGTTTATTCAATCTCAATTCGTAATGAGAAAGTCATCTTCATAATATTTTATCAGTCAGTACACACTTGATTTATGGTTTTATTCATGTCGGAGGCTTACCATGGGATCTAGTCAGTGTAGGGCCTATTCGCGTAGCCAGTTGAGGAGGCAGCGCATAATGTTGTGTCATAGTAAATACTTAACTTTGGTCGGATATATCGCTCTGTATTATATGCTCTCACTTGTATTCGTACTGTGCTCGTATTAGGGTGCAATCGACGAGTTACTTGTGTTTCAACCTTGCCATGGTGTCAATAAATTGTCGTTCCAAGATTATAGTAGTCGTAGCGCTTGATACAAATAATATTACGTTGGTTTATAAATTTCTATCTTGTATCTAAACAGTTTACATACAATAAAGCAGAATGTAGATGTTATAAAGTTAAATGAAATATTATGTGGTCTGTGTACGATAGATAATGGATCATTATTTGCCATAATATATTGTATTGTAATGGACGTTCATATGTATTCTGCAATACAGATTTAATAATAGTTAGCTTCCATGTAATACTTATACCTAAGGTGCTTGTTATATTCTGTTTCAAATCTTATTAGGAATGTTTAAGCTGATCTATGTGTTTAGCAAGTCATTCTATTTGCTTCCAGAACCAAGTATGCTTTGTATATTAGTATGACTGGTATCCTATGACGATGTGCATCTTTTTGAATTTGGTATGCCTATATATAATGTCTACTTGTAGAGTAGGAACAAGCGTCATACTCAACCAAAGTTGAGTATTTATATCGACTTGCTGGAGCCGTACTCTACTGTTAGTGAACGATATTGTTTAATTATAATCTCAGCATGCTATTGTAATATTGTTATTATGGAGGTAATGAGTGCACCTAGCTCCAATCAAAGTATAAACAATATCATATTAAGAGTAGGCGATGTCCTCAGTTTTTGGGTAGTTATGATAAATGTTTATACGATATTAATTTGGTGTACATAATATGTCATTTGTTTTTGTTGCTAGTATTAATAATTAAAATGATTTTATTATGATGACAGATGTTTTATTTCGAAATATCCAAGCATCCAGGCAATACCTCAATTACATATGGAGGAATTGCCTGTACGTCCAATCTCCAGTTAAATGATTTGTCGGGGTTTTTGAAAATAACATATCAATAGACAGTTTTTAAGTAGGTAGGTAAGTTGGTAATTTTGAGTATTCATATGATTAAGTGAAGATGAGGTTTTAAAAATGAGATCCTAATAATTATAGAAGAGTAATTATGTTTATTGTCATTTACACAAATCTTAAAGTATCTTAAATAAATACATTACATAAGGTGAGTATTGCGCGGTGGGTGCTTACATACGTGTATTTACATTATTCTCTATGTCCATAGTCTTCTGTACACTTATTATTTTGTTAAGTTGTAATGAATTGTTTAATTCGTGGCAACATTGTGCAAGTGAACCAATGTATATTTGTAAGCATAACTGGTAGCAATTTATAACTTTCGAATTAACAATCTAAACACAATTTTAATACATTAGTTTTGTTTCAGCCTCGCTGTGCCATTTATTACAATGTTTGTCCTCCTCGCCTGAAGGAGCTACTAACACCACTTGGCCCCCATTCCATTTATCCGGACAGGCATGTGTGTGTTTTCTGGGTAGAGGTCATCTGCGGCGGGCGCCTCGCACGCAGTCAGTCCGTTGAGGTGTTTCCTCGTGGGTCGGGGCGTGGCGCGGCCGGCGTCGCGGATCCTCTCCCGCGCCCACTTGTCGGCTGCGTGTGTTCTCTTCACGGGCCTCTTATTGCACTCGGTATCTGTATGCTTTGCCTCTGAGGCTGGTCTACTAGGAGTCTCAGACTCACTACCGTTTATCAAAGAGTGCGCACTTCTCGCTTTGTGAAGAGATAGCCGCAGTGGCTTCCGCGGCGGCGTCGGTCGCGACTTCACGTCGCTGTCTTTTCTATCATCATTCTTTTTGTAATGACTCATCCTGGAGCACGTCTCGGAGCCATAGTCTATCCGCGGCGAGCTGCTGTACATGTCGCCGTTAGGAAAGTCTGACTCGGATTCAAACTCGGAAGACTTGGCACTGCGCGAGTGTAGTTTGGAAGTCCGTCTACTGGATTTGTGAGCGTTCTCTAAGACCTTGCCGTCTATTCTGTGGTACATGTAGTGTCTTTCAGATTCCAGCTGAATGTCCTCTGAGCTGTCGTTCTTCTTCATTTTCCGAAGCCGTTGTGATCGCTTCAGTTGCTCAATTATTGAAAGAGTTTTTCTCTCAGCCCAGTTGGTTTTTTTTATACTTTCCTCTATTCTGTCTGCTGCCTTCTTTATCTCGTAGTGCCTGGGGTCTACGCTGGCGCTGGAATGCGTGTCCCGTATGTCGAGGTCGCTGTCTGACCTGAAGTAGTCCTCGCACTTAGACCTGCTCAGTCTCTCGTTCTTCATTCGTTGTTTCTCTATGTGCCTCTGGTTCCTCTCGATCATGCGGATCGCTGCGTCAGTTTCAGCACTATAGTCAACTGCACCATGAATACAGTGGTGGGAAAGAGAGTGACGCATTCGTTCGGCTTTGTGTTCGAGACTGTGCGAGCTGTGCGACCTGTGGTTCAGGGGCGGAGACGCTCGGGGTGATATAGCAGCACGGGAAGAAGCTCCTGAAGCATTAGACCTCGGTCTTATCATAGGCAGGTTATTCTCTGCACCGTCGAGGCCCGGTAATTTGGCAACGATGGCAGTAATGTCGGGACCTTTCTGGAACACCTGTACTTCGGACTTGGGACTGGGCTTCGGATGAGGATCTGTTGTGATGTTGATATTAGTGACATTCTTCTTTGTCTTGTTCACTGTGATGCAGCTGTCGTTACTGCTTGTTGAATGAAGCTGAAACAGAAAATATTAATGTTGCTGTCACTATCACATGAAAGAAACAGACGAAATCTAATGCATCAAGTGCATGCCTGAATCTGATTAACGTAGGTAGGTAGTACGCAGTAGCGTACTGCGTGCGTAATGAGTACATTAATGATGGAATTACCTGTGTGTGTCTGCTGAGGAGCTCGGCGACCTGTTCCTCGAGGTAGGAGATGCGGTGTGTGAGCCTGGTGTTGTCAGCGCGCAAGCCTTCCTTTGCTTTCTCAGCGTCGTCTGCTGCTGACCGTAGGGCTCCCAGCTCCGCTCGTAATGACGCAGCTTCGTTCTGGAAATAATTAATTAGGTAATTCAGCGCGACAGGTAAGCAAACAGTAGTTATCGATGACATACTACAGAAATACAGCTAGATTAGTTCATTGGTGTCAGCGCTTCTATAGACCCGATGCTAAAAATTATTGTAAGTAAGTAATGATGTAATGAGAACTTCTAATTCAAAGTAGGATTCACAGTCTGAAATGTTCACCTGTGTGAAGCCATTGGCTGGTTGCGGCGCGTGTGTAGTGGCAGTGTTGCGCAAGAGCACGAGCCGCGCAGGGTTGGCAGCACTCGTGGCGCGCTGCAGATCCTCCTGGTTGCGGCACGCTATCACTGATGTGCCGTTTACTTCTAACAGCCTGTTGAGCAAAATGTTCAGGTAGGTAAGCTACTTCAGTCAGTAGAATATCAATTTTATTGATCCTGATGAAATTTTTTGCTATGAAATGTTCATAAATTGGTCATATTGCGACCACAGATGCCAATAGGCATCTGAACGTTTATTAATCTAAATATACCTAACGCAAACAATTCATTTACAGTAGTTTTATTCAATAGCACACACACACACACTACACTTTCTTACTACCTATATAGTAAAAAATTGTAGTGTAGCCGGCTGAACCTAGCGGCGGTGCACATGCAGTGTACAGCGTGCACCACGCCACCTTGAGCAGCGTCTCTCATACGACGTGACGTCAGGCGTGACTAGGTAATATTGTTTCCATAACATAAGTGTGGTGTCGTTTGCTATTACGCATTTAATAGTATGACTTGTTTCGTGTCGTCTCCGCTTTACACAATATGGATGATCATGGTGGATATTCAACGTATTTCAGCTAGTGACCACTAGTGCATCTGTCATTGTAGCAGGGGCGTAGCTAGCGCCGTATCTGCCGGCCTCCGGACTACCGGACAAAATTTAATAAAATTTTCTCATATTTTATTTTATTTCAGTATTTATGCACAAAAGTCAAAACAAAAACGATTTTTTCCCACGTACACGTCACAAGAGTACGTAATAACAGATACGTCATAAGAGATTTTTTTTGGCATAAAATACTGGTAGTTTTATTTCTGAAAACTTTTCAAGCAACTCCCTCTGTCCAAATTATCAGGCTATGATTACTTACTTGCCTTTAACCAAAGTTTCTGCCAACCTTTGAATGCCTGCTTTATTTCAGTAGGAAAATATCGTTTTTGTTTTGACTTTTGTGCATAAATACTGAAATAAAATAAAAATTGGGGTTCTAAACAAATTTATATTCCGCCAAGGTACGCTGCGCGACTGCATTGTGGAGTAGCTTTACTATTTACTAAGAGGTAAGAGGTTAAGAAGCCTGCAACTATCTCACATTCCTGAATATACTTAAAACGACTTAATATTACTATGATAAAAACATTGCAACAGAACCAACAAGGGAAACATTAATAAGATCTATTAAAGCATGTTTGAGAATTATGTTCGATTGACAAATGCGCTAGAGTGGTCGTTAGTATCGATAAATCGTGCAGAATTAATCGTTCGAGTCCTTATATGTCACGTCAGAGCAATTCGCATATACTATTAATATTTATTATTACTGCCCCGGGATATGTTCCGAGGGACTTCCAGGATTGAAAGTCACGTTAGCTGGCTGGGAACTAAAACTAGATTGGAACTACTGTTGCTGAAACTCCGAATATATATGACACTTTTGTATCAGCGTAGTCTGCGTTACTGGCATACAAAGCCTAGCCTCGTGTGTTATTCCAAAATAAGACATATGTCTATGCCAAAATTTCGTTAAGACCCGTGCGCTAGTTTTTGTGCAAACGAGTAACTAACTTAGACTCGATATAGACTTTCAGCAATAAATTGAGGTATTTGACAAAAGTTATATTATTATAATATTCGGTGAGTCTTAGAAGTGATAGAATAGTTTGTACATTCCCTGAGCTGAGGCGGCATGCCCCTCTCCTCATTGTTCAGTGCGAGCTTATCTATGAGCATTCTAATCGGACGTATATTGATGGTCTGACGACGCCGGCGGCGCCTGCGCAACATGTCAAACGCTGGATTACTTGGATTTAGTTACACTATGATTTCAGATAATATTTTGGACATTGCATGAAGATGTAGACGTCATGCTAGTTTTTTAATAACTACCTAGATAGTTCAAATTCAAATATCTTTATGATATCAATATTCATTCAGATAGTAGATTCCATAGAAAAATTCAAGATTTTAACCAGTAATACCCAGAAAAAGTTTTATTTACTAGAAATGTGTATTGATGTGGAATTTACGTACTGTAGCACAAATAAAGATATAAAGCGAGCTCAAAGATTGCATATCTTATAAGACGAGCTGTTATTTGGCGCGGTGTGTGGCCGTCACAAATGCCAAGAAATTCCTTGGACTAATGTAAATTACTTCCACAGTGTTTGTCCACAGTCCGAGGCCCATCGTTGCCCATCTATGGGCACAGATAGCATCGCGATGCTCGTGATTGTGGGCCGCTGACCCGCGCTCATCTGCGTTTGCACGCAGATGTGCTGTGCGCATGCGCATTTGCGTAGTTATTGCGCACTATAAAGTGTTGAGTGCAGCAGAGATTGTGTCGTAAAGGTTTATGCGAGTTTTGGTGTTCTGTGAATGGACGCTCCGCCTGTTTCTTGCAGTTCAATGGTTTTGTGTAGACAGGATTTATCTACTCAACTGTTTGTTTGAATACGAAAAGCTTGTAAAGCAAAATTGTTAGCCAGGTCCTACAAGTAAAATCCAAGAAAAATAATGTTGAACATACCTGTCTCCAGCCTTAAGGCCGACATTGTCGCCAGGCCACTCTATGAGCATGCCGGAGCCACGCGGGACTGCACCCCATGTGCCCTCGCGAGCCTCTACCGTCACTACTGACGCGCACCCGCCACAGTCACGCACCGCACTGTGGAAAAACATAAAATAAGTAATAATAACTGGAAAATCCTGCGATAATGACAACAACAACAGCTTGCTAAAAAGCTCAAACTGTGAGATACGCGAACATAACATGTGAACATTAGTATATCAAAAGATCGACAGTATAAAGAGAAAGACATGTCGTTCCGAACATGTTTCCAGATCGCTCTGTTTTTGTACCAACATTATTGTTGAGGAGAAATGGAGCGCGTGCACTATTGTTCTAACTGTTACATGACATGAGGATTTGAAAATTGATCTTATTAGAAAGAGAAAACAATTTGTGATTGGATGACAACTGATATGAGAGAATGAAAGAATAAGACCTATTGTGGCGACCCCACACCATGTAGCTTGGGTTGGTATAGGGGCAGGAAGAAGATATAAGACCTTACCTAGAGGTACCTAGATATTTAAAATATTATGCATTTTTCAGTTTCCTTACTATTTATTTAATTATTTTATTTATTTAGGCGTAAAACAAGATTTTGTATGAGATGTCTCAATTCGATCGATAATGTCTTTATTTAGTTTTCTTAATCAAGTGCTCAGTTGTAATGTGAAGCTTGCATTCGAGTACTTATTGACGATTGCTTGATGTAAGGTTACAGAGGTTAACGACAGTCTTCGCATAAATATGTATTTTGCTGTTTGTATTCATTCGATCGGCTTGAGGTGTAATATTTTATTTTATGCTATTAATGTTATGTTCGCTGTACCTTTGCTTAAACATTCATAATGTAAAATTTATGATCGTCTTTCTGTTTTTTTTATTTTCTTTATAATAGTCGACTTTGTTCACGATAGCCATTGTTACAATATCTGTATATAATTCCCGTTTTGTGTTATGATCGTACACCTACGTATAAAAACTGCATGTAGTGCTACGGTACCATCCGACCTGTTTTTAGCGCAGTACTACACCTAGCCGCGTGGAGGTGAAATATGAAACCCATAAACTCGCTGGTCGGACTGGTTGGTAAAAAACGAACACATCAAGTGATCACGAGCTTCGAGCTCGACCAAAGTACAGTCTGTTAGAAACGTTAAACAACAGCTTGTGCATTAAAAGTTAATATTTTGGAAGAACACCAAAGAATTAAGAAGGGACTTTCGTTTGTTTTGTTCAGTGTTGTGACCTTTCAATCCAATTTTAGTGACGTGTCCATTCCCAAATCTGACGAAATTCATGGACGGATATCTATAGATCAGTAAATTATAAGTTAAGTTTTGATTTCATAGATTATTTAAGTTAAAATTTCGCTTTTATTATAGGCACGTTGTTAAAATCGCTTAATTTGTGTACAAAATTGTGAGTCTGAGTATACATCAACGATATAGCAACTTGTTAGAACAGGGTTATCCATGGTGAAGTACAAAAGCCATGAATTTAACGCATTCACTGCCCAGTGGATTTTCTCCAGTGCCCGAATTATAAGACATCCTACAGTGCCCCGCACGCACTATTGCGTTCAATGTTTGCCCTTTTCGTGTGCCGGAAACTCATATACGCGTTCTTACGGCTCCCACCGTGTGCCCGAAACTCATATATGCGTCCGTTCGACTCTCGGCGAGTGCCCGTGACGCGTCTGTGCGTTTGTTATATACTTACGAAAATACGATAGAATATTATGTATCTGTAGATAAAAGTTAGGGTCATGACACACTGTAATGGAATTTATAATCCATAAGATTATTTATTTTATGTAGTGAAATTGAAAAAATTATCTAAATATAAACTAAGGATGAACGTAATAATTCTATGGTTGGTAATTAGGTTTATATTTAGAACATTGTTGTATTTTAACCGACTTAAAAAAAATGAGGTTCTCAGTTTGACCTGTATGTTTGTTTGTACGCGATTATCTCGCGATTGGTTGAACCGATTTTGATGCGGTTTTCAGAAAAACTTCTGTTACATTTAGGGGATGGGTTTAGTATACTAATTAACCAACTTCAAAAACAGGAGGTTGATGTTGGATTTTTAAACGTATGTCACGACGCGATGCCAGTATATATAAATTATAGTCTTTCACCATAGATATTTAGTAAGGTACTTATTATCTCGTATAGGTTTATTCTAAAACATTTCGATAGTTGGCTATAGCACCTGGTGGATATGGTATTTAAAATCTTCAAAGGCACCGCCGTGCATTGTATTGCCGTTATCAGCAAACTAATGTGATTCTATTGTGCGTATGTATGTGTTATGTGAAATTTTAGGTTTCTTGGAAAAAAAAGAGATGATCGAGATAACATTGAAAAAAAAATACCACCAAAGGTGATCGTAGTCTTACGTGGATATTTCTTTTTTCAATTGTTCTAAGTATAGTAATATTTCGAAACGGCTGAACAAAATGATTGATTATTGCATTGGTAGTAGTAGAATAAGTTTTTTTTATAATTCGTACAAAGTGTGTAATGACCTTTATCAAAGAAATCAGATAAGGAAGTACATATGTGTAAATATGGGTTTCGAAACAATAGACCCTCGGACGCGTCGACGGGCAGCAGGTAAAAAAAGGGTCAAATGAATAGAACGCATATTTGAGTCCCGGGCACATAGCGTCGTGTCACAAAACGCACAGACGCGTCATGGGCACTGAATGCGTATGAAAAAGCATTGCACAATGTTGTAAAGGTCAAACACAACTGTATTATTTAAATAATAAAAAAATATCTATCGATGTCGTATGTAGTGGTCGTATTCAACAGCTCGAAGGCAGCAGCTTCTGCTGAACTTAAAGTATTGACTTTGGCCTGTACTTTTTGCTAACTCAAAGTCAAAGTCAAAATCATTTATTTCAATTAGACCAAAAAGGCACTTTTGAACGTCAACAATAAAATTAAAAGTGAAGCTATTTGCTCATTCCAAGGTGTAGATTCCTATAGAGAAGAACCAGCAAGAAACTTTATAGGTTACTCTTTTTCAATCAGGTTTACAATACATTTCTCTAGTTACATAGTTTGATGTTTGGATTGTGCGAGAACAATGTAACACTAAAATCTTGTCAAAGTGATCGAATAAGCAAATAACCTTAAAAACAATAAATAATACAGTCTGGAGCTGACCAGTTCCAGTTGAAGGCGCCCGTTCACGAACATGACACGTACACCAGCACCGCCCAACTCAACCATATTGTAGGGAATCGAGCGATCCACTGCACGCGCCAACGCCAATGAGACCTTTGAGTGAGCATGACAACTCCAAGCTGACACAAATGCATTCTACTAGTCTAATTTAATATTAAGTTAATTACAGGGCTCTTCTCACATTCACAATGGCTATCTAAGTTAAACAATATACAATTTAGCACTATGGCTGTATTATTTACGATTTCATTAAAACATCAGTGTTTTTTGTTATTCATTTCATTTCATTTATGCATCCATTCCCGCAGATAATGTACAAAACTAGATACATATCTCATGATAAATAATTAATTCTTACTACACAAACCAGACATGCAAACACAGCTGTTTTCTCAAAATAACAAATGAATACGTAAACGATAGAATTCATCAAACTATTGTTGTTGAGACAGGACCCGCAGTAATATAACTACGAACCATTGGTTCCAGCATTGATATCGTAAACATTTCAAATTGTTATTGAAATATTCATATCCATTTGCGGTATGAATAATCTTCGCTGCAGCTTACAGTGAGTGGCTGTAGGTACAATTCTATGCGATGCAATATTCAACAATGATTCATCAGGTTCGGTAGCACCTATTTAAGAATACCTCTGTTACCCTTTGTACTATACCTACCTACCTACTATACTGTACCCACCTGTGTATGTAGATTTGCTTGGTTATTGTACCTAAGTATATTTTTCAATGTACAAGTATTCTCTTTATTTTTCAAAACTAGGAAGAGCTTTGTGTAACTCCTTTAGTAATAGTAAAAAAGTAGAGGAAGTGATCGATATGCCAAATAAGTGCAATTATTGACATCAAAAAGAAACCCGACATTAGCTTACATTGGTTTACACGATCCACACATACCTAATTCCAAAAATGAAGTTCGTTTTTAAAATGTAATATAACTACAGGTACTTTTCTATAACTTCAATACGGCAATAGAAAAGGTGATTGCAATCAATCGGCTCGGGGAGGCTGAGCGTAAGATTGCGCGCCATGTAGGGAACAAATAAATAAAATATCGCGCGCTATCGGTCTGCAGCACGTGAGCCACTCAAATGGTAGCCGATTTATTATAGACTCTGTTCTGGCCTTTTAAGGGTTTATAGGATTTTTACGTTAATGGTAACTGCATACATGTAGTTGGCTATATACCGAGAGCCATTATGTAATTATATCCTAATTTATAAACGGTTTCAAGATATAATTCTAAAAGGAAAATAATAATGGTTCCGAAAAACAAATTAATCTCCAGCGATTTGTGGCCGACTATAAAAATGGATCTTCGAATAACGAAACTAAAGATCCGAATAGAATATTGAACCTCTTTAGGTTAGGTTAGTATTGTAGCAATAAACAGTCGGTTAAACTAGTCGGAAGGTTAGTATTTTACGCAGTAGATTTAATATTTTCAGTAAGGAGAATTCTTCTTTTCTTGTCGGAGCTTTTATTACTACCCATTAAAAAAAGTGCCCAGAATTACGGACCTTGTGAAAAGTATTTGTAGATAAATTTTATAATTTATATAAAAAATACAATACAAGACCTCGTCTTAGCTCAGCATCGATAGATGAAGTTAACAGCGTATTGTAACTGGCTAAGGTTCAGGATTTTAATGCGATTGACACAATACTCATAAAAGCCAAGTCACTCAATATTTATGGAGCTGACAGCACAGAATATTAGCACTTAACGTTGTAATGACGTGCGACGAGCTATCGCACATAAACTGCGCTATAATACGAATGAAGAATGTGCCTTTAACACCGTGTGAGACACTTATTTGAATAGAAACTGCAGGATTTATGGAGAACCCAGCTCGCAGCTTAGTGTGGAGGGA